TCATTTTTGCAAATAAAATAAAATTATTGTAGCAGCCAAGAAGTATAACAGCAAAATCGCAAAAGATATCGGAACGGAGTGGAAAACTTTGGCAAGAGAATTTGGAATGGATCAACGCGACATCCAAAAAATTATAGCTGAAAATAATGGATCAGTTGACGATCAATGTGCGCAAATGTTGAGTATGTATGCGAGTAGGAAAGGTCGGAGTTACACAAAGAGTGCATTAGTTGAAGCACTCTTCAAAAGCGGGCTGCGTTCTGTAGCTGAAGATCATCGTATGTGTAAAGTTATTTCTACATATAAAAATTCAAAAAGGAAATCCAATGCTGTAAAAGAAGATGGTAAGCTTTTATGCTATAAACAGAAAGTGTTTATCAAAATTTTCTTTTCATTATTTACACAATTTATGATAAATTAATTTTCATGGACTATTTTTAATTTACTGTAGATACGATAGCGTATCTCAAGCGTAACACAACAAGACTCTGATTTCATATTAAACTTTGCGTTATAACCCAAATCAGTTTTTTAGCGACGATTATCAGCATCTATATCTCCGCAAAGATACTAATAGGGTATATTACTGTTGAAAGATTGAAATAAATAGTTTAATAGAAAATAGATTCATTACTTTGGACCATAAATCCTATAAAAATACTATAGTTATTACAGAGGAGCGTTAGATGTTGTAAAGTAACGTAAGATATACTAACACTACAACTACTGCAACTATCTAGATTTGAGGTAGATACGGGTATTAACCATATTTGTTAGCTTTAGAGATGTAGTCAATGTAGAAGGTAATATTGATTGTAAAATCAAATTCAACGTAGATGATAATAGTTCATGTGGTGTTAGACGATTGCAAAAAACTTGATATACTAACAGAATCCAACAAATATTCTGTCTTGAAAAAATTTAAAATCATATCAATTTTCATTAAATTACTTGACTAGAAATTTTCTCAAAATTTTCCATTGATATTTTATACCGAATAAGCTTCAGGCACGATCTATTTTGGGCCACATTACGCTCAGTTGTATATATGAAATAATATAGCATGACAATATATTAAGTTAAAGATAAATTCTGTACGCTAAATTTTGAAAATATTATCCTCTAGAATAGTTTTTGAGGGTATCACATCCTTTAAATTCTCGATAATACCGCAACTAACGCAATTTGATGGCAATAAGCAGTATTTAGCCTGCGCAGTCAGTTCAATAGTACAGTTCCTGCAGCAATCTTCACTTTAATTATCTTTTCATGGATTATTTGCTCTTTGTATTCTCAAGAAGCTTGTGGTAATGAAGCTGAGTTTAAGTATATCACGTACATTGGAATTATATAAGGAAGAATATTATTAGTTAACAAGCGGTACCACGTTTTCATAAATAAATTTAACACCTACGACTTAACAGAGTAATAATACTGTAACAAATATCATGATTACTGATAACACTGATGTTACTATGATTGGTTGTTCTCTTTAGTAGTCTAATGTTATTCAGTTTGCATTTACGTATAAGCTATCTCTGTGGTATATGCCGTACCATATGGAGTTTTTCCTAAATTGCTTAATTCAGAACAGTTCTTCAGGTGTCATTTGCATTTCATTTCCGGATAACTTTGAGATAAATCATAATTTTGATCTTAAAAACGCTATGAAATAGGAGTTAGTAAGCTTTTTTAAATATATACTTGGGGTAAAGACCTTTATTTTAACTAGAGTTACCTTGTTGATGATCTTTTCGACTTTTGAAAAATACGAGTTGAATAATTAAAGCTCACACATACCAATATTTTTCCCGCTTTATTGCGGTTATAATAGTATTAGTAAACATTTACATTCTAAACTCTACGCGATTACAAAACTCAGACTAGAAAAAGTATAGATTTCAGTAGTTCTTAGAGATGCTGTATTAGGTAACCTTAACACCTTGAGATATGCAAGTAACGAAATCCTGGGCTAATTAAGATAGATGTTGATCTTTGTATCTTGATGATACTTTGCAACCAAATGTACGTATAAGCAGGAGATTTCACCTTCGAAGTTGAGGTAGTCGTAGCTAATGTGGTCCTTGGTGGAAGACGTAATTTATTCTCAGGATACGGAAGTCTTTGCTTAAAGTTAGACGCTTTATCACACAGTGATGCTATTACAAATTAATATCATATAGAGTTCAATGAAGTTAGTAACTTTATTGCAGTAGAAACGAGATTGCATCTGGTCTGTAGAATCGACAAGAACTATTTACTGCTGAACCTTATCAAAATTACCCAAACTGATCGCTAACGAAGATTTTTTACTGATACAACGAAAAATCGCAATGGATTATCACATTGCAGTGATTTCAGCTAATTATAGTAGTTTTGTGTAGGCCTAATAAGCCGTACACTACACAGTACACATATACTAAATTGATCGTCGCATCTCATTTATCTTTACTACCGGCTTTTCAAGAAAGCGTTTATAAAATCACTTCTTCACCTATACATAATGCATAATTTTAAACCAAAACTAGTAACAGTATATTTTCAGTAAGCTACAATGATGCTTGGATCTAACTGTATACTAAATAGCCTATTCAATAAGTTGAAAAGCTTACCATCTTTCCTCTAGTTCATTGCATCATTTACTAAGACGGATGAATCAATTAGCTAATGACTTAGTCAGTAGTTTTTTAAATAAAGTTTAGATAGCAAGATATCATTATTTAGTATTATGTGACTTACAGGAAGTGAAGTTTACCTTTAGTAAGCAAGACTACTTCTCTCACTTACGGTATAGTAACTAGAATCTTTTCGAAATGCGCACACTTTAAGGCGCAACACACTATAACGTGCATAAGTAACTACTTTTATTGGTCATTATCCCCTTTAGCTGTACGTACTCTGTCAGTCATTGTAAACATATTTACTATGCTGTCAGCATATTTTTAATAGTAAATACATTATTGCGATCAAACCATTTGTAGTGATTTCAGCTGATTACTTAGTCCCGATTAATTACTAGTAAACCTTCGCTCATGTGATACACTACATAATTTGGAGCTAGTTATCATACTTGACTAAATAGATATTTGAATGTAAATAACAATTTCATACTTAAGCATGTCTCCTAAGACACGAATACTAACATTGCAACTATTGTAACTATCGAGATCTGAGGTAGACATTAATAATATTTGTTAGCTTTAAAGATAGAATACATGCAGAAAATACGATTGTAGAATTAAATACAACACAAATGATAATAGCTTATGTAATAGTAGATGATTGTAAGAAATATGTAGAATCCGTCAATAGAATCTAGCAGATATTCTGTCTAGAAAAAATTTAAGATCATTTAAACTTTCATTGAATTATTCGACTTTAAATTTTCTCAAAAATTTAAAGTCATTAAATTAATTCTAATACCACATTTAACTACGAAGAATCAAGATCTTATAATATTATAAATTGATATAATTCATAAGCTAGATATCAAAGCTTTATTTATCTTACCACTTGAAGACCCAGTGTTAAATTCTGTTAATGTTGCAGTGTCCAAGTTATCTAGCAGGAAGACTTCAATAGAAAGAACATCTTTATTTCCCGGTGTTTTTTTCTGTACATTCGTCAATATTAATCTACTTTATGTAATCTTTGATTGAATGTTCCAGTTTGTATTTTACATTCAAAATTGGACCGTCAGTATACTGTGCTAATTGTATATAATTATTTAAATAATTTATTCTACTTTAACTAGTATCACTAAGATGATGCTATTTGATTTATTTGCCATAATGTCAAATGGCATTTACGCATTAAACAATTCTAATTTTTCTGCCTTAGAAAGGTATTTGTATTTAGTGTGATTTACAGCAGTATTTCATAAGAAATCTTTATGTAAATTATTTTATTGTCAGAAATTCCACTTCGTGAACTACCGCCAACTTCGATAAGTGACTACATTATAAGAAAGGACATCGTTAATAAAATTTGCGATAAATTAAAGAATATCGATGAATCACCCGGCCATGCTTTAATACATGGGATGGCTGGCAGCGGTAAAACGATTGCTGTTTGCCAGTCTGTACGCCAAGCTGTAAGCAATGGCTGCTTTAAATCAAATGGTTGTTATTGGATGAAGATTGGTAAGTTTCAAAATTTATTGCAGCTAATTTTTCGATCTATAACTTATTAATGGAGAGTATTTTATATTATTAGTGTTATAAATGATTTTCGTAAGAATCTAACATGTTGAAATAGAATAATTATAGAACTGAAAATGCTTAGTGTAGAATTAATTTGTGCTATCGGATGTTTACTATAGGTTAAAACGTGTATATGATTACCGCTGCCATAATTTCCGATACAATACTGTACAGTGTATATTATCTAAAGCAAAACACTTGATTAGCTTCCTTTCCAAGCTCAATGAAACTACTACTTAAATTAATGGGTTCTTAATTTAATCTGCTAGTTAGCGTTAGTCAAAATTAGTAAACTCATCGATTTGGGGGAGTATGGTAGCAAATCTGCATGATGTAGTTGTCCCCTTGTCTACGTAGCCTGTATTTATTAGCCATCTTTAGTAAAAGACTGTTACAAGCGTATAGGTAAAGTGTATTCTTAATGATAACTAACCTATAAGTATATAAACTTTAAGCTTGAGATTAGGATATTTTTATGGAAAACTATGAGAGTTTAGTAGTCCTTGTCTCTATTATATAGGTTCAGAGAATATCTATCTATCCTTAGTAGGTCTATAATTATAATCAGTTGTTGGTTTACTTTGATTACTTCAGTGCTACGATTGTGGCCCATTGCACTGTACGTATCCAATATGCATATCGATACCTAAAAATAGCGCAACAAAGATAAACTAATAATGTGATGTATGCTGCTGCTTCATATTTTAATTATAACGCTGATAAACTATTTAAAAAAAGTATGGTAAGATAAAATAGTGGTTTATAAATGAAATAGCAATAAAATTTAAGATTGTTTACAACTGCAGATTCTATGCCGGTTTGATCAATGAGCATATTCGTCCATAAAATATTTTCTATGTTTCTTGGTATTTTTGTATTTGAATATTTATAACAATTATTGTATCTAGGTAATATATCAAATGATGAATTATCCCAAAAGCTGAAGGTTTTGGGTGTCAGTCTTGGCACTGTGTGGAATAAGAATATTAAGTCAATAAGAGAAGTTTGCGAATATCTTGATAATTACCTACGAGGTAGGCACAAAATTTCAACGTCCTTCACTCATGAAAATATTTGATATCAAGTTAGACAATGATAGAAATAATTACTGTATTTCCTTTGTAATTTCTTGATAGAAAATAGCAAAATAGCCAATACATTATTTATTTTCGACGACGTCTCGAAGAAGGATCATTACAAATATTTTTTATCCTTTGCTAAGAAATCAATCGTTACTTCACGATTAACCTACGATGGAATCCAGCTTAATTTTGACTGTTTTAATATGCCGGTTTGTATTCATTTGATTTTGTGTATAATTATTCACACAATGCGACTTGTTTATGAACTAAATTAGACACGGTAATTGTTAACTAGACTAGCTTTACCGTCAGAGGATTGAAGTGAATTTTAGGCCTTTATGTTTACCTTTCGACACACGATTTTAGAAGCAGTTTAATAAAAAGTAATGTTGCATCTTTTATGTACTTAAACATTTTTACGCCATACTGTACAGGAACGGTTGACTCCTGAAGAAAGCGTAGAATTGCTAGCGTTGCATCACGTAGCTCACTCTGAGGTTTTACGTGCAAATCCAATTATCAAGAACGTCTTTGAAAGTTGCGCTTACCTACCATTAGCAATTTCCGAAATTGGCGGCCTTAATCTAAGCACAAATGAAGAATGGAACACAGCCAAAAATTCTATTACAGGTGTCAACACCAATTTATATGGTGTATTGCAATCAAGTATTGAATCTTTAAGCGAATCCGACAGGGAATTATTTAAGTTGCTGGCAGTATTTAAGCGAGCGTCCATCCCCATTGAATCTATTTCATCAGTATGGAGCTGTGACGATAAGGATGCCAACCGTATTTTAAAGGAAATGCAAAATAGGTCATTATTAACATACGTCGAAGGAAGCAAGTAAGTACGATATGGCTCTATCATCATGTTTAGGAACTAAATAAGCAACGCATGCAACATAAAATATCCAACGTGTATGCAGTATCCGAAATAGCAATGGATATTCATGTTTCAGTTTTCAGTCATATTTCATCCTTAAATGAGAAGTGTAATTGTTTTTAAACGTGTATGTAAATGTTGATGTCATGCATATGCATGACATCAAATGTCTTTGTATTAAGCCTAAGGTACCATTTATCAAATCACTAGTAACAAGCTCTAAATGATAGGGAAGTATTTCCTAACGCTCTGTGAGACTGTTGCGAAAACATCAACGTCATACAGTCTGATACCCCAAATTTGAAGTCTAAAGTAGACAATTCCCCTGGTTAATATATTGCAATGTAATATCATACAGTGCCAAATAGCATTGATTTTCCAAATTGGCGAAGTTTTTGAATCGTTGCGCTTAGTTTTATTCAATAATTGAACATTTAAAGTATGTAGATATTTGACTCTGCAGTTTGAAGATAGCATGTTATCGATTTATCTACCTTAGTGTAACCGATTTTTACAGTAAGTGTTCACATTCGTGATCTTAAGATGATTTAAAACAATATTTTTTATATCTTGTACACAGCTTGTCCCCTAAGTTTTAATAAACATTCAAATTTTACTGCACATTTAAGACTCAAGTATAGGTTTGACTTCATTTTCAACCAAATTAGTAGGGTTGCAAAGGCAATTGTCACTTCTATACAACATACAGGCTACTCGTATTTCATTGCCGTTAAACATCAATAATGATTGTATTTGATCATTCGGTATATTCATAATACATAGCTAGAGTATCGGAGCATTCAACTTTAATTAAAATCTCGTTCAAGAAGATCTTTGATTTAGTACGCTACAAAACAGTTTGAATTTATTGGCTTTAATTAAACTATGCCAGTTTCGCAATCAGCTCTAGAAACATTTTATTAACTTCTAGTGTATTAAGCAGTTGCATTTTGCAAGTAGATCTAAAAATGAGCCATTGATTTCATACTATTCTAATCAAAAAATCTTGCTACAGTAGCGTATTGTAATTATTTTCGCAAGAGCATGAATTCAACATATAATGTATAGATTCTCATTTAACCAGCACCAACAATATAGCAAGTATTCTTAATTTTCTATTTACTACGATACTAATCGAATTAAATATTGTTAATTCGTTCAGATACTGGGTTTTACATGGTTTGATGCTGGACCATCTACGCTTGCAAGTCTCGAACCAAGATTATGATGAAAAATTAAGCAAGAAATTAATTGATGGTTATCGTAGTCGATGCAGAGGTAGATGGTATACCTTCCCTGATGACGACTATTTCTATCAAAATTCAGTTTGTCATGCTATATTGGGTAAATGTGATAAAGATTTGCAAAGCATCATGACTGACTTTAACTGGATGTCACGTAAAATTGAATCTGACAATGAAATTTCCGGGCTAATCAACGATATAACTAACTACATGAACTACTGTAAAAAGAATCATCAGGTATCGGTAATTTACTTCTTTAGTAGATTAGAACAGCTTAGTAGCATCGACATTTATTACCTAGGCTTATACGTTGCAAATTTTTACTGAAATCGCCTTATCAAGTGTTACGCTATTTTTAGCTCTTTCTGAAATAAGAGATTGTTCAAACACTAAATATTTAATAAAGTGTTAGATTTAACACTTTAATTTAATTAAATATCACTCAATTACTTAGTATTATTGTAATCGGCGTATATATGAAACTTGATTGTGTGTAACGTGGATAGGTATTAGGGGTATACTTGCTTCTTAATAAATAGCCCTTTCATAAATTCGGCTTCGTATTTGTGTTGCTTTTCATTTACTGATATCCTTTATTCGCGATTTTATTAAGGACTGGAAGAAATTTGATAAAGTGCTTGCATTTCTGCAAGATCGTGGAAAGAGGCTAAAACTACACAACGTAAACTTAGTAGAACAGATATTGACATCTGATATAACTGATGAGTGGATGAAACAGCGAGCTTTGGAATTAGCTACCGAAAGTAAATATGATTATAAGTGCATAGCTCAGATATTAATCAATTCTCGTTGACTGTAGCCTGAACTGCGCTTAATTAAGAAATTCTAATCAAAACGTTATTAGAAATTGATAGAATACTCGTAAATATATAATTAATTGAGAGACATTTATCTAGGCGATATTTAACTTGAATTATAAATCATGACACTGCTATTTATTAACTTCATTAATTTATCTATCTTTAGCCAACAACGATAAAGAATATCTAAAAGCTTACTATGAAGCATTAAAAGAGGGAAGTAGGAACAAAGATTTCATTAAAATTGTCATTGGTGGTCCTGAAAATGTCGGTAAAACATCTATTATAAACGCCTTTTTAAATGATGGATCCATTGAGCCTAGCAGCGAAACGGAAATTGCAAACGATATACAGCAGTTGATAAAGCTAACGACATTTGATGTTTTAGACAGAAGAAAAGTTGATTATCGAATTGCATTAAAAGAAAAAGTATATTCATATATGATAAATAATGCTGATAAGCAGAATATCAAACCACTATCTACGCGTATGGAACAAAATTGCGAAGGCGATACCTCGTCTGCTAGCAAAAATTTTACCACCAACGTTAATTCCGAAGGTGAGCAGCACGTAGAGAATGATATAATTACTTCAAATAAAATACCTACGCCCGCAATAACAGACTCGGCAATGAAATCCTCAGGAAGAGATTATAGCGATTTAAGTACTTCAAATGAATTACCTACGTCTGCAACAGCAGACACTGAAATGAAATCTCTAGAAAGAGATTACGGTGAAGGGGCTATATCCGCAAACTCAACGCCTGCATTAAATCACGAGAGTAATGTTGTCTACGATCCATTACAAGCTCTGACAAAGACAAGTTTGGAGGACAAGATGAAAACTGACGTTGATAGTCAATACGGGAAATTCGTCGACTTTGGAGGCCAAGCTGTCTATTATGTAACACATCGTCCATTTTTGTCTGGAAAGAGCCTTTATATTCTAGTGTTCAATATTACACGTACTTTTGATGACAATATTATCGATCGTGACGGCAATGAAATTACTATGACCTATAGACAAGCCATGCAAGAATGGCTTACATCAATGATTGGTAGTTATAATGATGCAGGCAAGGTTAAAGTCACCATTGATGAAAAAGAAGAAGAATTTCATTTACCGGTTATAATTTTGATCGCATCGCATGGCGATCTGATAAAGGATGAGAAAAAACGTTTAAAAAAATTTGATGATTTTAGCCATTCCTTGGCTAAAGCTATGCCTCCGTTTGCGAAAAATTTATGTAGCTCACGTATCATATTTCACTGCAAACCAACAGATCACACTCCAGCATCCATTGACCAACGTCGTAAAACTAGTGAAGTTCTCCACGATTACATCCAAAAATTTGCCACAGCTTTGCTGTCTCTAGAAAAGATTCCTGTTAAATGGTATATTATGACATCATTACTCCATATTGGAAATCCCCGGAACAATAAAACAGCTGCGGTAGAAACTCAGAATAATGAAATTATAAGTAAGATAGGTGACATTATGACATTTGAAGAAATCAAACAGTTATCTCAAAATTACAATTTATACGAAGACGATGAAAAATTTCGGTATATGTTACGATTTTTACATGATATAGGCGACATCGTGTTTTGTGAGGAAGAAGGATTAGATGGAATAATTGTAACTAATCTTGATTGGTTACTCGATATACTTCGATCGATTATAAAATTAGGCAATCCATCGAAGTCCTCAATTGAACCTGCGAGTATAAGTAAGAATGAGGAAGTAAATTTACTCATCAGAAACGCTTCCAAAACTGGTAAACTGTCAGAAAAATGTATCAATTTTGTAATAAAAAAATTTAATCTGGATAAAAAGAAGACAGAGTATATTTTAAGATTGATGGAGCATTACAGTATAATTTGTAAGATTGAGAATGTAAACAAGGATCATAACAGCAGCGATGATCTTAATCGCCTTTATTTCGTACCCTATTTGCTGCGTTCTTCTGCCAAGGTAAAAAGAGAAAATTATTGGAAATCAGATTGGTTATATATAGGGTATGATAGCACCGAGATACCCTATATACCTGATGGAATATTTTATTGTCATCTGTCAGCCTGTTTAAAAGTTTGGAATAATCCTAAAGTTGAAGCGCATGATCGTTGTGCAATATTTTATATGGAAGATTGTAGATGTAGGATAGTTGTCGAGAAAAAAGACTCATTTATTGGAATGCAATTATGCTATGGGCCCTCATCGAAAAAATTAAGTAGGGTTGGTAAAAAACGTATTACCAAATCAATTCGTCGGCATAAGCCGCACTTTATTATTCGAGATAAATTAAAAAAGGTAATAGCAGAGAAAATGCCAAAATTTGACTCTACTAAATGTCAATTTTATTTTAAATGCGGTGGAAGGGATTGTAAAGAAATGATCGATGTTGCTAATAAGCTTTGTAAAAAAAAAACAGCTAAAATCAAATGTAGCGAGTGCATGACTAAAGTTCCAAAAGAATCAGTGAATCAATGGCAGATTTTCGAAGAAGAATTAGCAGGTAAGATGAAGTATTGAGTTGAGATTTACTGCCAACTATTATTTGTAGCAAATTTTCTCATTTTGGGCCGGTTTATATGAAAAATACGCGTACATACTGGAAAACTGAAGAAGTGCCAGTAAAGTTAAGATTCAAATTTTTTTTGTGGTTGTCATTAAAGCCATAAAATTTATTGAGTACGTTTTTACATCGTGAATATTTGAAACAATTGCAGCACTAATTATTTTGAAAACCTAAATTCGCATTTTTCCAATTCGGAACTATTCGGTTGTTGGTCGTTTCAAAACGCAAGAGTCCTTTCATTCTAATCAACATAGTTCTTCGTTTGTAGTCATGCTACATGTTAGGAACATTTCTTATATAAAAAAAAACACGCAGTTGGTTAGCTGAGAGAAGCTTGATTTTGGTGGTCATATCAAAAACTAAGAAAAGAATTCTCATACCGTCAGTTTAATGGAACTAATTAATTAACTCTACTACGGTAGTACATTCCATGAAAACCTACAGTTGAACAAATTAAAAGTGCTCAGGCACTGTCAAGGAAGTCAATTTTCGCGGCGTGTATATTATCTCTATTTTACGTTGTATATATGCTTATCTGGCAGTACGTAGCGTTGAAGATATCCTTAAATGTAACTTTAGTAGTTAGCAGTTGTTAATTAATAGTTCAATAATGAGTTAATGACTTGTTCGGGAAACTTACTTACGATATGAAACCGTGAATTCAGAAGTAGAAAGAGATCTCACCGAGCTATTTTCGTTGATAGGGTAGATGACTGAACTTTTTCTTTAACCCTACTACCAGATTTCCCTTGCACTTTCAACAATTACGGCTCAGTAAGAGAAATATTCTCGATGTAGTTCAGAGAGAATAGTTCATTCTTGCTACATTAGATATTCTATTATACGTACTGTATAGCATCAAGTAAATAGCTGTTGATCCGTTTTTTTGCAAATAAAACTGTTGTAGCTGCCAAGGTTTATTACAACAGAATCGTAGTAGATATTGGAACAACATACACTAATGTATTAGTAATTCTGATTCTGTATCAGAATTGAACTTTAATGCTAAGTTCAAATTTAATTAATTAAACTAAATTTGCTAAGTTGTGTAAAAAACTTTTTACATATACATAAATTGCGCCAAGCTAACTGAAATTTTTCTCTACTTTTATCATATTGGATTAAAGTGTTAGTGGAGATAAGAAAGAATATTAATGATATTTACGGATAAAAGTTAGCATTGGTTAAAAAGAGAAACATTGAATCGTCAATTATAAGTTCTATCGATTTTAACTTTTCTATTTACATGTCATTCTTAAGGCTGCTCAGTACTGCTCAGCCATTGCAAAATCTAAAGAAAGATGATGAACTATCACATATGTTTATTGATAAAGTTATGATTAGCTTTAAATTAGTAATAAAGTACGATACTATTTTAGAATAAGACGTAATCATCTTAATACTTGTAACCGCTTTCTTTATAGTGCTAAGCTCACGGCGCAATTAGCTCTTGCAACTGACAGTGAACTATATCGATGTCGATATTTTTAAAGCTTAGATAATTGCAAATTGACAAAGTTGTGTAACAACATTCCGTACATTCAAAAATTTCCCCATTTTCACCTACGTTGCAGGACGGTACTTTACAATACGAAATTTGCTGCAATCTTGCAGAGTAAACTGAAATTTTTCTTTACAATCATCCGTTTTTCAGTAGTCTTATCTTGCTATCACTATTTTACAATTTTCTGCAATGATGTGTTTATTTTTAAATATGACCGTATGCAATCATTTGAATTTTGATCGTTACAAGTACTACCAAAGCGTGAAAAGCCAAGTTCTATTCAGTAAAATGTATTTTGCAACAGTCTTCTTTAAATTAAAGTATATTTCTCAGGATACGGAAGTCTTTGCTTAAAGTTAGACGCTTTATTACACAGTGATGCTATTACTAATTAATATCATATAGAGTTCAATGAAGTTAGTAACTTTATTGCAGTAGAAACGAGATTGCATCTGGGCTGTAGAATCTACAAGAATTATTTACTGCTGAACCTTATCAAAATTATCAAAAATTATCAAAAATAGAGTAAATGCTTCGCTTTAGTTAAGAATTTTGCACAAAGTTGACATAAGTTACGGGTAACGTGTAAAGAATACTTTTACGTAATCCGCCTAACGTTAATGTAGTGCCACTGTAAATTTTATTTCATGGATGTTATTATTGAACGAAAAAAGCTAAGTTAAATTAAGCTATTAATAATGGAATTCCAAACAAAATAAATTAGGGGAAACACTAGTTTATTATAACTTCAACAACAATCTTAGCAAAATTTCTTAAATGAGTAACAAAATATGAGCAGAACTACCGCCTAAACCAACCAAACTATCAATGAGATAACTCGCGATTATCCTTGACTTTTCTCGTCTTTTCTATCTTCAGCTGTACTAGACTATCGAACTATGCCACCTTTTATATGCTACGCGGAGTAGTTAGTGGTATTAGACTACCTAACTATCATTCTAAAGTACTCTAAATTATACTAGTAATCAAACACACGCAATAACGATAAATTATACCCTTGTGTCACAAATATCTTCTTTTTGTGAGCGATTAAACTTCTCTAGTTGCTATTACTGTCGAGGATAGAACTACTAGAAGAGTTTTAATGTTATAATATACTCTATTGGTATAAGTCCTCGTTGCAGGCCTGTCTATTACGATCGAAATTAGGAACTGAACAAGCTAGTTAAATTACTAAATTAATATAATCATAGTTTAGCTTAAAATTGTAGATTGCGACAGTATATACTAAGACAAAGCAATAATCTTAAATTGGAACCCAGATCGAAAATTCGGGTTCATACAGTATGAAATCATAGTGATATTAACTTCTACTGTAATTAATGATCGAAATTAGCTACAAATATATTCTATTACAAAATTTGAATTACAATCTTATGACATCTAATTTTAAAAACAATTATGCTAATAATTATCTTAAATTTCAACCCGAATAAAGCAGTCGGGTTTACAATATGCTAAGATACTATAGTAAGTAAAATCTACTGTTGCAATCAGCCAGATAAGTCATATTTTTAAAGCTAGAATACTTAAAACGATACCAAAACTAAGCTAGAATAATCACATTACAAACACTTGAAGGAGAATTCTAAAAACTAATCTCCATCACAGATGATAGACCGTAACTGAGTATTTAGTTGTATTAGATTGATATTATATTATACATTCAGAATTATGATAGAAATCAAGTAATTTTGCTACACTCCCTCTATCTTCAGATGCGCAAGCACCATTCAATAAGCGAAGGGTTTCCCTCACAGAAGATGAAGGTATTACGTTTGTTTTAATTTAAATTTAAATTATTGGTAAATTAACTTCATAGTATTTGAGCAGTATTATTTTAGTTCAATATCAGATACAGAATTGTGATGGAAATCAGTAATTTTATTACGCTACGTTTATCTTAGATACACGAGCACGATCCAAAAAGCGAAGGGTTATATCAAAAGGAGATGAAGGTATTACCTTTGCTTTAATTTAAATTATTGGTAACTTAACTTCATTCATTATCTGTAGATACTATAATATATTTAGCTGTATCATTCTTGTACTAAAATTATTCTATAATTCAATAATTTAATATCAATTTTTAAAGTTTTATTTAGATAAATAATTTTAACTAGTATTATGTAATGGGCAATATAAGTAAATAATGGTTCGTAGATTATACTCGTATTTACAAGACGTTAGTTGAAAGTTACTGTCAATATGCAGAAGTGTTGCATACTTAGATCAGACTAATTTGATATCTAAAATCGAATTAAGCTTTATTACAACAAAATCTAAGCTGTAACTGCAGCTAAAAACAAACTGTTGGTAAGAAGAACTCTCAATTTTACTCGATGCAATCGTTTATGTATGGTACTTTAGTACATGATCTATTAAGTTTCGAATATATGCCATTCTCTAATTATCACTACGACTAATACATGCAGCCGCGCTTTCATCTGTTAATATATTACTAATTTCGATTTCATGTAAGAATTTAACTTCAACGTTAAGCTCATGGCTCAATCAGTTATATATCTGACTGTAAACTATATCGATGTTGATATTTTAATGCTTAGATATTTGCAATTCACAAACTTGTGTGGCAACATTCCATACATTCGAAAATTTCGTCTTTCCCACCAACAGTACTTTGCAATACAAGCTTCTCTACAACAGTTGCAGAGCAAATCTAAACTTTTCTTTACAATTTTCAGTTTTTTCAGTAGTCTTACCTTGTTGTCACTACTTTATAATTTTTTCTGCAAATAGTTTGCTTATTCTTAAATATGAATATCTAGAATAGTTTTGAATTTTGATTGTTATAAGTATTACTAAAGCGTAGAAAGCCAGATTCTACTCTGTAGTGTAATGATATCTTCTTTAAGTAGCGTAAAGTATTTTAAGGTAGACGATGATAGAAGGTATAAAGGATTTTATTGAGATACAAGTTACAGACTAACAATGATATGGTTGTTATAGATAAGGTATTTGAGATAGCAGGAATGTAGGAACTGACTAACGAGTTAGCGTACAAGGGTATTTATAGGTTTTAGATGGGATTGAGATAATGTCTTTATATGTATAGCATGTCGTCTATATGTAGTCATGATGTCGTACATTATGAATGTAATACAATACAGTACTTAAACGGTATATGATAAGTATTCGTATATTAGGATATTACTATACTAGGCATCTTCTATATAAGATCATAATGTTACATGTAGAACAAGTCTTGCAATAATCTTCTCATACATATGACAGTAAGCTAAATCGCTACCGATATTTTAAAGCTTAGGTATTTGTAAATTTACAAACTTATACAATAACATACCATACATTCGAAAATTTCATCTATTGCATTCTTCTATGCAATAGCCAATGTGTTCTGATTTTTTTCATCCAAAGGCAATCAAGATGAACTACAAACTCAAATTCAAACTCAAAATACAAGACAAGATAACAATCAGCAAAGCTATCGTAAGTCCGCTTAGACTATCGATCACACTATTCTTTATCAAGTCACTAACAAGATAATCTTCTATTTTGACTCATTTGCTCAATATTCATTACCATACCTAAAATCAAACGCGCGATCAATCATCTTAATAGTTGTATTTCAAGTTATTATCTGATATAGAGTATATAAAGCTTCACGAATATAGAAATAGGATACCAATGGCGCAGTTTACAAATTGACTAATAAGTTACGATTATAATGAAACTGCAGTAGATTTCATTTATCGATTGTTCGCTTGCAATAAGAATAGAATATTGAAATGAGTTTGCAAGAATTGGACAGGCTTGATGAATCGATCATCACTGGCCAATTCTAAGCATGTTAGGATTAAAATGGATAATATATGATTAACGCTTAAGAATATTGATGCTAGTCTAACAAATGCCGGTATCGTTTCAATTTTGAGAGATTATTAATTTAGTTTTATAGAACATAGTTGCATTTTGTATCATTTCTGAATGAATGACGATGATTCTCTACGTACATAGCAACATTTATTAGCAACAAGTTTTTCTATTTTTCGATCATCACTTTATAAGCCAATTGGCTTTATTATTACAAAATAGCAGGTGTTTATTCTTGCTTCAAAGTTCATAGTCTAGCTTAACGAGCTAGGAGCCATTTCCTCATCTGTAGTGCTCAAATTCAATTCTTAATCTTTATTTTTGTTTATAACTAGTTCTTACAGATTAAAATTTCACTAAGTATAATACCACAGTGAGAAGAGATATTTTCTCTCTTATCACTAGTACTGCTATATCGTTACGCCAGTAATAAAGACTAGAACCAATCTAGAGTGAAGGCACTAGGCAATCTACTAAAAAAGGAACGACGCTTTCTTTAGCGATCCCTAACCAACTATAGTAGTCAGTGTAACACACGAAGAACTTGGAGAAACCACTAAAAGCGCTTTATTCATCATTGTTGTGGTCTTAAATAGATTTTTAATATTAGGATAACTCCGACCACATACAGCGTTACAATTTTAGTAAAGCTTATCTAGTTTGAGCGCTTTAAAATCACCCAGAACTGTATATGTCAGATATTTTAGTAATTTTGATTGATAGATCATGTAGTAAAGGGCTTTTTTGTAGGACAAGGCTTATAACTTACTCTACGTTTACTGAATAAACCTCACCATTTATTGAACTATAATAATTTATTGTATGAATAAGAAGTGATTGTATTTATCTAATCAAAATTTTGATCGTCCGTTAATTGGTTACGGAAAATTACAATCTTCGGTTTTAAAAGATCTAATGTAACGAAACTATATTATCTAGATCAACCGCAACAAGTCCAACAGAAACATCAAATACCAATAACCTCGAGTAGACAAGGTAACACGCGTATACTTACTTGATATTTTAAAAAAAATTTACGGTCTTTATTTCATCTCTCAACAATTTATAATTGTTATAATAGTATGAGAAATGTAAAACTTTGTCATTATCAAGAAATAAATATTTTATGATACAGTATGCAATAGCTTTTAATGTACACTTCCAATGATTTATTATAATGGCTCATTGTATGTAAATTTATTTTCATACTGACATTAGCGTTTGTTAACAGGTAGTATTAGTAACAGTTTGCTTTATAAACTAGCATACCAGTTTGATGTACGGTTGTGATGAGGTGAAATTGTTGAAGATAATGACTATCAATGATACTATTTAGACCTAATTATAAGCTGGGAGAATCAAATGGATCTAATTTACTAATACTATCAACTGTGTTTTAATATAGAAGAACTTTTTAGGACGTACTTCGACATGATCGCTACGAAACTTCCTATAAGTAAATTATTTCAATTGGGAATTTCATTACATTTAACATATAATGAGATAAATGAAATTGTATCAAGCACTAAAATTGATAGTGATTACGAAAAAAAATATCGAGTACTAGAGTTGTGGAAGCAAAAGAAAGGCCAAGATGCTGATCATAAGGAAGTAATTTCAGCATTACGTAAGGTTGGAGTCAACGACATAGCAGATCAAATCGAATTAATATTGAAAGAGTGAAAAATATCAGAAAGAGAAATCTGAGTCATTAAAGTCATGTTAATCCAATCGTCGTACAATCTGAACGACTAATGATTAGTGTAAGCTAGATAATAAATCTTGCAAAGAACATTGAAAATCGCATCTTCGAGCGTTCAATCTGTATTTGCATATTTACTTATTTAAAATCCTTAATCAATGAACATTAATGTTTATCTGTTGCACTATGATGATTTCTTTACATGCTACAGAGCAGAAATTTCGACGGTTAAAAGAGTAAAACTAATCACTGTCATGTTACTGAGAACATTATTGGCTTTTAATAGCGTATGAGACAAACAATAATATATTTTCTGTTTCTAACTATTCGTAATTTGAATTCGATATCGACTAACTCACGATAAAGTGCTGTATAAGCGAAATAGTTCGACGTGGAGGAATATCCGGCTTATACGCTATCGCTTAGTACTGCTCTGTTAATGGCTTATTATACTGAATGGCTAAAATAAGGAGTAAAGTCGCAGTATTTAAAAGCTGCTAAAGGATCTCATACAGTATCTATAGACCATCCGCATTCAAACTGACGAAAGATATTTAATCTACTAGATATCTCGTTAAATGATTAAGGTGTTTACTTTTACTTTAAAATCCCAAGATGCTGTATTGCAAAAAATGATGTTAATAAGTACCGTATTTAATCGTAGTTAATTTGCCAACATTCTTAATATACTAGCCACTGCTATACTTTGCTTAATTATGTCACAAATGAAACTTGTAACGAAGAAATTAAACTAAAAATAGTAGATCAAATACCACCAGCATGTTGTCAGGTTTGATTCGCCAACATTTTCCTTCAGTACAAATCCAAATACTAACAATAATGCTATCGCCAGGTAGTTGTAGTAAACTATATGTCTTTCTCTAGGCAAGACTGAAGGCTGAATCCAAGATTTATTGAAAATCAATCAATTTACATAGTATTGCTACTTAAACATTAGTTATTAATACTTAGAAAGTATGATAAAAGTTTGCAAAGTATCACACATGAATCATTATAATTAAAGCACTTTTGGATGAGTTATCTGATGAAAGTTATGCAACGGCTGATATGCAAAAGCTTCCCAGTGATAGATAGTAAATATGGCAAACGAAGCAATTTGATTTAATTTAATGAATCATCATGATTAATAACAACTGTGATTCTTCGTATGTTTCTTCGTATGATTAAATTAGATAGGTAACTAGTTTGAGAAGAGCAGACTATTCTTATTAGAATGCCAGTTAGTAACTGAAATTTACTGAAAAACTGTTAGATTTTGAATTATTCTTCAATTCTAAATTATGAGAGCGAACATTTGTAGCAATGTAGCCATTATATTTGTTCCTTTAACAAAGTGGTGGAAGATTTTCAAGCTTTCATTACTGGTCTGTTACCTGCACTTGTATTAGTACTAAATATTCAAAGCATTTACCTTCCAACAACATATATAATATCACGACACAAGCCAAGGCGAATTAGAAATAGTACGTTAGATAAATTTAATACTCTTATAGGATAATTGAGATCGGATATTTGTAGTATGACCCAGAACCACAAATTTTGCTTGTAATTTAGCTGAGCTTACCAGATCTAGAAAAAAACACAAGTAATGATGGCCAAGATTATGATTATGTCATGGTAAATTTATTAATTGCCGTAATTAGTATACTTATACCGTAATTTAGATTAAACATCAATATAGTCCTATCAGGATCTCACGCTTATAAATGCACCTGAATGAAATAGGCAATAGAATATAACTTCATTCTTGCGATACTAATACTAATATTTGTAACTACAGTACTTCAAAAGAGTATTTATATTTACAGAGTATGCTTTGTAATATGATTGGTAATTGAGCTTGAATTTAACGTTATCTTATTGCAAAGCCACAGTAGATTGTGGCAGCCAACGCAATAATCAGATTAAATTAGATCTACTGTCTATATCTACTGATAGTACTAACAATATATCGTCGTTAACCATATCACAGTTATATAATGATAATTTGTACGTATTTTTTTCGGAGATAAACTCAAGTAAAATCTGAAGAATTGAATTAAACACATCTAAATTTAAAATTGTAGTTCAATTGATCAAACTATGGATGTTACTGCAATGCAAGGGTCATATCGAATTAATTTATAGTCTGTAACAAGCTCTTAAATGCAGTTAATAAATTTTATATACTGGGATGATATTTAGACTGATTATTCTTAATAGATTTAATTTTAGCCTTCTTCATCATACAATTGATTTATTCCACCCAAATGTAGATTCACCAACAACAAATGAAGAGATATCAAAATCACAATTGCGTTCCGTGTTTAGCAGTTATGCCCAAGAATTTATTGAAGTCGAACCTACGGATGATCTATTACACTCGTTAGTTTCGTCTGCTATATTGAGCGAAAGAGATGTTAATAATATAAAAGCTCTTCCGCATCGAGAGAATCGAGCAAGCCATCTTTGAAATATCTTGAGTAATCGACATGATGGCAAAGATTTTATACAGCTTTGTGATTTATTAAAAAAAATAGGACTAGAGTTGTTAAAGAGTTTGGGCTTAAACTAGAAAATAAAGCTAGAAGTGTAACACAACCTAGCGGCTAGTGATTTGTTATAAACGCTAGATAAGACTAAATAAGGAATTTTTCGAGATTTCTTAATATCAATCAATGTTCACGGCAGTGGAATCTATTTTCTATATTCTAATGTTCATAAATCCGTCCAATCTTTATAACAAATAAATTAATCGTAACAATTTATTAACAGACAAAACTAATTTCTTTTCGTACGATATTGATGTAACATTGCAATAAATAAAATTTTGACTATGTTAATATTAAATTTATCTATTATTACAAGTTTCACAACGGTCAGCTCATTCATATAGCTGATTTTTCTATCCAATTTTTCTTTCTATTCGCCAAGAAGAAAGCAATAATGAAGTGAGGATTTGGGTGCATTTCCTATAACTTTAACTTTTGCATTATTTTCTACTTTATCTAATTAACTGGATTTAATCGACACCTGAAGACACTTATAAGTCTGTTACTAATTAATGTAAATGCGAGTGTGACAACGGCGAACTCAAAGCGTAAACCTTATTAATTAATTACTTTATTAAAGTATGTTCTGTTGTCACAAAACATCTTTGGTAATCGTACCTAAACTAATCTATCTACTCTTATGGTTCTCCAACTAACTCCGGAGATCCTCAGTAAGGGAAAACTTACTTATTCCTATACTATAGTAATCGAGTCAAACGATAGGTTTAGGTTAATAAATATATTTATTACTAGCCCGTTTACGTTAGTACCAGTGTACTCTACGTTAACCTCAGTGGAACTGAGATTAAAAATTAATAATCAAGTGTGACAGTGTTAAATACTGTATTAGAGTAGAAGTATCTATGTTAGGATAATCCTTAGCCTATCCTTATTTAGTTAACTTCTAATTTGGATATACTGTATTTTAATATAGCACTGACTTTTTATGACAGTGACACATATACACATACTGAAATTAATAGTTACAATAGGGAATGCAAATCATCTACTTGCAGTTCAAATCATTGTGACTGTAACTTACTTTTGGTAGATTGTAAATTATCGTGGAAATGTTCCGTGATAGGACATATCGTAATCTGACTATTCTGTATTAGTCATCACATGTCTATGTTCGTAAATACTGTAGTCTGCATTAAGGGAGCAGTAGCTAAAATTAATATCTAATTCAGTAAATGATTCCAATGTTAATCGTATTAACTATGACTCATGAACTATTGAGGAATAGTATATAAATGCAGTATATCGTGTAATAAAGTGGATTCTCAAACTTAGTATTTAACGTAAAATACGAGGCGTTTAAGTCTTTGTGTAGGCTGCTAGTAGAGCGAAAGTGTTTCTGATAGTGCAGATATCATTCCTTGATACGTGGTTCAAGGAATTGACTTATTAATCGTACATTACGTTATCTTGTTGCAAAGCTGTTTTGTGACATCAAGCTTATATACAATTTCATATGTCACACAAATAACCCCGGTGCTAATCTTTCACGTTAAATTATATAATTGTGCAATACAGTATATCATTACAGTTATTCTACTATCGTAAATTACTACTAGTTATACGCAAGGAGCATCAAGCTCCGTAACATCTATATAAAAAGCGAGTTGAGTAATCGGTTAGACGAGTAGTACTAAATTGTGAAAATTGAGCTAAAAAAGCCAATAGTACGGTAGAATAGTATACATATCGATAAAAATTGTCTGTAGGATAAAATTCAGAGTAGTACCAGTGCTATAGTTCTATCATCTAATCAAAAACAAATTTGCTATCCCTCATTACGGTGATATACCTTTAACTAAAGGCTATCACCTAGAACTGCAACTAAAAACCGATAAAGTTCGCCTGCTCTTTAACTTGTTGAATATCATTAAAATATTTGTAATTCCTAATTACTAACGGACGTATTTGTTGAGAGATGAATACCCTATTTAATATTCTAAATCGATAGCAGAAGTAGATATTTTATGATTTAAATTAGTCTAGAACTTAGATTAAGTTCTCTTTCAAGTTCTTTTTAAAAATGAACCGTTTGATGTCGTTATGCAATATGTGAGCAGCTTATTCTAAGATAGAACATCCATCCATCAATGGAATGACGTCTGGCCTGTTACTGTACTTCATCAATTACATATATTAAACTATAGATCCAAACATATAAATTAATTTCCGCCCTCAATATGATCAATAGCAAAGTATTATATATGTTACATATATACTTGATTAGAGTAAATAACATATATGCATACCGTTACATGTTATAATACTGTATTACTTATCTACATAATGTTATGTAGTGAAATAACATTATAAAGCTACTGTTCCTGTATCGGGTGCAGAAGCTTCCCGATTAAGAAGATTATTCTTATCGTATAACCTGTTACTATTTCTGAATGCATCGGCACATTGCATAGCCCCTTAGTATGGACTAAATTCATACGAAAGCATTAACACTTCTATTATATTTACTAAACAATATATACCGCGAGAGTAAACAATTACTGATTCGGTCGTTATCAAAGTCTTACTAGTTTTATATAGATCAATTCTTATCATCGGACACGGACGCCATCACTAGTGCTAGTCTATGTCATATATATCAATCAGATAGCAGACAAAAATATCTGAAATTTTTCAAATTAAGATTACTGGATACAGCAACAGCAATTAAATTGAAGACAGAACGGTAAATTGATATAATAAAAGCTAAGAAATGCTTGAAAACAGTTTTATTTTCTTAAAACGAAAATCGTATTTGGCATAAAATTTAATAGAAACCACCCTCCTGACACCAGGTAAAACATCTTTTGCTCTTGAATTATACGTATGTTGACAATTAATATTGGAAGTTTTCACGCATTCTTGACAATATTTTTGGAATGTATCTATGGCTCGATTTATGCACAGCATAGTTATATCGAACGATTGATAAAGTATAAACCCTAACTAAAATAAGAATTTTAGAAGGATGATAAAAAACAGTCCAGTAAATCATTTACTTCATCAATTATAAGTATGTAATATCAACTAACTGTAGAGTTACTGTAGCCAGAAAAAATTATCGAGTGGATTTTAGGTTTTGAGATTAGTTGTTGTATGAAACAGTTGAGGATAACTCTTTTCTAAAGACATTATATGCAGCTGTTGCCATTTAGCGAAGCTTTTAGATATCGACGCTAACGCATTGATCGTTATTGCCTCACATTTTTTTAAAAACACATTGTTAATGTGTCAAGGTCTTGACGTATAAAATGTCTTGCTGTCAAGATATAACCTTACAGCTTATAGGGATATGATGATTTCGACTCTTTCGAAGTACATGTGTTAGTAACTTCTTTTTGTAATTTAAGGAGATTTTGAACCCTTGAACTACGATCATTAATTAATTTACTATCATAGTGTACCTATAATGATAAAAAAATTAAGTTTGCATATACAAAGTATATCAAATGTGCCTGCAAAGCTTATATACTACGCTGTACTGACATATTACTGATTTAAACAAAATAATGGCTGTTACTTCGCTAATTTACGAGTCTTGTTTTCTTTTTATTAACATTTTGACACTGATATGCGCGTCTCTACAACATCAATTCAAAAATAGTAGCAGCAATTAAATTTGAAGAAATATAGCAGATTTATCTATTTAACGACTATTTCTTTTGCCTCATATGAAAGTTTATATTACCACAACTTAATTGAATTCTACTCAGTTTCGATGATTTCATTTTAAGATTACTAAATGTTACTGCGCTATCAAGATGTTAGCTCTACTAGAGGTCTACGAGAACTCGCATTAAAGCAGACGTAAAATAGCAACGAACAAGAGAATTAATAATCCAGTTTGATTGTTCATACATGAGCATCAATTTATAAAAACCGATTGACATTTTAACATGCTCACATCAATTATTAATGAATTATTTATTATATCTATTCTGGCACATAGATTAGTTGATGACTGTAACACTAGTCCTAAAGTAGCTTTTATGATATTACAATGTAAAGTAATGTTTCATATAAAAGAACCTGAAGACCTTTCAGGAAGAACCTAGGGAGGAGCAATTTTGAATTTAATTCAGTTCTTTTATTAACATATTGTCTGATGATTCAACAATTATGTCACGATCAAATCGTTGACAGCTAACGAGAAATCGAAAAACTTAAATCACTTTTACTGAATTAGAAGATAGCAGAAAGATCTGTCTTGAGCTGAATATGATATAAAATATTCTAAGCTTAGAAGATAAGCATAACAAATAGATGATGATATACACCCTATTCCTACGTATCCTTAAATTCATTATGTTTTTGTACTGGTGAGCAATTAGAGAAAAAAGTAGCAATGACATCATGATGGATCCAACGTCTCAAATTATCTAAACTAATTCATTATTAATTAATATAGGATATGCCAGTCAAGATTTGTATAATTTCATATTGCACGATTAAAACTTTAACAGCAAGCTGATTAGGTAATCTTCTTATAACACTATCATAAGATATAACGCTGGAATAAGCATATACAGTTATTAGAGCAGGTTAGTTTTTAGATTTTCTGCCTTGCTTTGTGATCAGTAATGATTCAGCTGGTGATGATGAAGCTGCAATTGAAATAAATTATAGCGTCGTCAATCTAATATGGCAATTATCTTATACATTCGAATCGACTACAATAGATATCCACTTTTTAAGCTTATATCGTCTTCCGAAAGCTGCTAAATACAGTTCATCGAATTAAGCAAATTTAATGTACTGTATTAAGTAATACATTTAAAATAGCTTTTAAATGATATGCTAGGGTAGCTCGTAGTATAAAATTCAAGCTAGTTTGATTTCTATGTGCATTTACTTAGCTATAATGAGCTGTATATATACACATGTACCATAAATTTTTAAAGCGATTTGATACCATACTAAGCAAATAAGACACTTCAGGTTAAAGGATTGCCAAATAATATTCACTTCATGTCTAGCAGAAGCTATCAGTATACACCTTGTGACCGATTTTTGTTTTACTCATTACTTAAAATGAACCCTTGTCTTTTACAGTTCCTGGTAAAGTTTTTTGGGGATATTTCTTGGTAAATATACTGCTTATGTTGTTTCAGCATCCATTGATTAGATACTTCTGGGCATCAGTGTACGTTTTTCTGGTGCTCATGCTACAAAAAGAAGGAGAATACATAACCAAGTGCATTACTCAACACATGTAACGTATGCTTTAACAAGACTTTCGCTATGTTTACAGAATGGGTAAATAGACATTATACAATATACTAATTAGGCGTGACAAACCACAATCAGATCGAATATAATTGGCTTAAGCTAAAATTATTGCCGTACTAATATTAACACTATAGTAAGATAATAAATTTTAATTAGCCATTTGTATTTTTTAAATCTGCTTTTCTAACATCAGATTAAGACAACGACAAGTTACGAGATGAAATTATTTACTAATGCTATCTTTAATTTTACTAACTGCTGCTGTACTCTCCATTTGAAAAACTATTCGTATTTCCATTGAACTAGAACGTGTTTCCTAAACTGAGATTTCAAAAGTTTAAAGCTCTAATCAATCCTTTCTTTTTACCCTATTGGTTCCAGCTTAGAAGATAGAAGTAATTAACATGGGAAAATTGACTCTTTTCGAAATCCAGCTAGAAAATCCTAAAGCTAATTATTATAAAGGCGATATTATAAATGGCACCATCAAAATCCAAATACAAGTTGCAATGCCAGCATTGGGTTTGAGTATTCGCCTTCGTGGACGGGCTTCGGCTGCTTCTAGAAGTAAACATGGTTGTAATGTCGATCACTACTTCCTTGATGAAAAGCAAACTATTTGGGGTGATGGTAAGGAAATTATTGTTAAAAACATGCCGAATCTGTATGGATACCATGAATTATGCACTTACTATCTATAACAGATAAACCCTAGTAATAATTTTGATGGAAACTTTCTAACTGTGTATCTGCGTTGATTCTTATCCCTCTATATATTATAGCATCTGATCAAGTGTTTGATAGCAGACATTCATTGCCTGCTGGCTATCATGAATTTAAGTTTACAAATCAATTAAATACCGATGATGACATGCCGTCATCGTTTGATAGTAGACCTTACTGTATCATATTTTATGGAATTGTTGCTCAATTTGAGAGGCCTCCATCTAAGAATTACACTTGTGAAACAGGATTTACATATATTCAAACAGTGGATGTACCTCGCCCCTTATTACGAGTAAGTATAATCCCCTCTTTATGATTTATGGTGCACTAGGAATAACTGAGTTAAAACAGTAAACTATTTCACGAGAATAGGGACTGGCTGAAGCCAAATTATTTCACAGTATATTGACAGTTTAAATTATAAAAAGCTAGAAATTTTTGACAATTTTGAGATAGATAGTATTTAACAAGGGTGATTGTCTTATTTTATCCTAATATAGGAACAGCCATCACAATTGCGCCTCGAACAGCCTTTAAATCGTTTTTTATGCCAATTTGGAACCGTTAAACTAAGTATAAAAGCAGATCGTTCTGGTTACCTTCCTGGCGAAACAATGTTATTAAATATTGAGTGTGAGAATTCAAGTAATGTAGTTCTAAAAGGGATTCAAGTGGCACTAGTTCGTCGAGTTTTAGCTAGTGTAGAAGGTAGTCTCGATCTCAATGGGTTGATAAACTGTAAGTAATAGTTTTTGAAGGATTTTACTAATTCATTTTATAAACTTGGCAATGCATATAGGCAATTTTTATAAATATTACGATACTATTGTGGCACTTGAATCTGATCAGCCAGTCGATCGAGGAAAGACTTTTAACTTAAATGATGAATCGTTCGACATTCCGCATATACCACCAGCAATCAGTTACAGACGCATTATTAAAGCGGAGTACAGTGTTCAGGTTCTGATTTATTTTAATTATTTTCAATTTTGGAGAAATATGGGATATACGGTACTTGTGCTGTCATAGTTGATGTTTTAAACTGAAACTGTTCTTAATTTCGTTCAATATAGGTTACTGTGCTTGTTCCAAAAGCGAAGAATTTGATAATGCGGCTTCCAATCACTATTGGCTCTCTTACTACTTCTAGGCCAGATAATTTTCCGAGAGGGCACTCTATTGACGATGTCAATCCTGTTATTTTAGGTGATACTCACGGTATGAGCATATGATACATCTCAATCAGGCTTTGTTAAAATTGCATACTATAAGACAAAAGATAGATTTCTATCTGATAAACTATTTCTGAAAATAGTTTTATGATTGCCATACCAAATTAGGTATAGATGCTGAGTTTTTTGAAGAAAACGAAGTTTAAACTGCATCACCGAAAGCATATTTCAAGTTGAAATCCTCACAATATTATCGTCTACTACGCTATTCCTTATTGAATACTAATGATTTCCAAGGCAGCTCAGACTCTAAATTATTTCGTAAATAATATCTATAATCAATATTTAATAATATTGCGAAGGTGGACTACGCAAGTCTGTTATTTATCCAATCATTTTCGTACTGATTTATTTTCATACTGATGAGAATATAAACTTGCATTTACTAAGTGCTTAATATGATGAACTAAAGTTCTAGATGATACTGCCTCTTTAATTTTTGGCTGTTTATGAGAAAATAAAATTGAACGAAATTACTATGTCAATGAATACGATTTGTAATGTATATGATATATATTCTGTTTATAAATCTTTGTTCGTTAACTATTTGAATTGTAATCAACATTTATTAGACGATGTCCATAACTATACAGGCTAAAGGCTTATTAATATTTACCTCCTCAACCAAGTTATAGCTGTTGGACCACTTGCCCCTATACCTATAATTTACCGTGTATGCATAGAAAAAATTGGTTACTTTTATTCCTCCACGATATAATAGTATTTAATATATAGTGTACATTATACATGCAACCGAAGTTGCGAGCTACTTCCAAATTAACTATCAGCATGCTATTTTTAGACTTTAATGTTTCTAAACATTGAGTCTATTTTAGAGTGAATTTATTTCAATTTCAAATCTGTGGAACGATCGTGCAGATATACCCTTTGACGATATGAAATGTAAGCCCAGTCATAATCTCATCCGTTTTTGCGATTATAATAAATGTACGTACACATAATGATTGTTACTAAACGGGTTTAATCGGTTGAATGAAAGCACTAAAGTTTGTTCATATTACTTTGCACTAGGTGGTACTAAGATTTAAGATTTTATTAGTGCCATTTGTAATAAAGCTTGTAGGTGTAATTAGTTTCGCAATATCTTGTTTGAGCTTACATTATAATTATAATGATAGTGTTGTTTAATGGCTAATAAGGCATATAGTAATCACAGCATTAAGTAACTAATGTGCATGCATAACTTGACTTTAACAGTAATTAACATTTCGAGGTCTAAATGGCAACTATAGTGGAATGATGTACAGGAAATGTTGTTACCATGGAAATATAGTCCAGCTCTAAAATAGATCTATATTTGTACACTCAATGTACAATAGGTGAAATTAGCAAATATTAATTACTATTATTATAGGACACTAAATGGGCATCCGTAACTTCAATTACATCCATACTTGCCAATAATAGTATAAAGTATTAAATCTACAAGGCTAGGAGAGTCTTCATTCGAAGGCCATAGTCAATTAAGTTTGAACTATCAGCAACATTTCCTGCACAGTGCACAACCTGTTACACTTGCACACCTGTTGCTTTAGAATGCAGTATATAGGCTAAAAGTACCGTTTGAGTCACAAAATAGTGATTAGTATGAGATTTCATACTATATTGGGTATGTGTATGAAATAAGCTAAAGTGGATAGGCTACTGTATTGCCTATGTCGATATGTGTTACAAGAAGGGAGTGCAACTGCGCAGGTACTGTGCATAGCACGCAGTACGGATGGACTCTTGGACACGAAGCGCAAAAGGACCTGCCAGAAACCAATCGATCTTATTCCAGCAGTATCTGCAATGCCAGAAAACTGCAAGCCAGCATCTTGCTACTTTAAGACTGCTCAATGATTGCATTGATGATAGTATAATCGATCGAAGCTAGAAGAAAGCATTTTTAATAGAGCAGTGGGTGAAGAGTAGCTGCTATCGCTTACATCAATAATCTACAATCCCCTGACCATTTTTAATATCGGCGACTACTAACTTATTACTGTATTGATAGGTGGAAGCTTTGCAACAACGAGCTGTTGGAGCTGCAACGATATTTAACGCTAACCTCTAATAAATGGCTATTATGTCAATGGTGTTCATGTATGGTACACGGTGGACTTTTAAACGATAGCATGATTTCTAATTTTAATCACGGCACTGTATTTATGGATATACTGCATATCGTTTTGGAGTGATAACCAGCTAGTCTTACCTGGAATGGCGACGGTCATATTGAAAGGATCTATGTCCAAGCTTATATCAAGCGAATGGATAGGCAATATACACAACAAGTTCTCATTGCCGTACCAATTACTGTCAAGAAGATTAAAATTTAATTGGCCTTTCAACCGTAAAGATTATATTTCAACTCCGAAAGCAGCTATCAAACCTTGGACTATTAGTGTGCATGGCAAAACAATTTCAGATCCCTATCACTGGTTGAAAGATCAAGGTAATGCAGCAGTCATGAAATATCTTCAGCAAGAAAATTCATATGCTAAGAAGGTCATGACAAATACAAAATCAATCCAATCTAAGCTAGTACGAACAATGAGTGACATAGAAGCTCAGCTAACTGTTCCTCCTGAGGTAATCTTCGTACCTACAGTATTTGTAAGCTATTTAAAAACAAATGGTTGCAAATAGTATAATAAATGCGAAAACGCTTCCGTCAGCCTCTGCCATGATTGTCCTAATCAATTCGATTTTATTACAATATCTCCAGTATGCCTATAATTAGAATGCAGATAACTAAGTTCATCGACTTATCATTACATATTATATGTTAAAGATTATCGTATATTTCTTTTATAAAGATATTGGAAAAATATGAGTATTATATGAAAGAAGAGAGCGCTGCATCTTTACCTATTTATTGTCGCCGTAAGCTGGATAGCAATCTTGTCGATAATAATGAAGAAGTCATTTTAGATCTAAATGATTTGTCGAAAAGACATCAACATTGTTGTGTCGGTCAGCTGAAAGTTTCTCCATCTCACCGGGTATGTGTTGCACATATCATCAGTTTTATAGCGTAAAAATATTATGGTAAAGTCATTAGCTGCTGTTTAGTTTTTCTTGTACTGTACCTCGTAGTTGCTCCTAGAGGTGTTTAAGATTTGCGTGTTAATGAACTGATGGATTGTATGAATCGCATGTAGTATATATTAATGAGAATGCAATTGCTTTCTTATTTCTAATATTTTACCTAGCTAGTTGCTTACACTTTTGACACTAACGGAAAAGAAAATTATGAAGCACATATAATAGATCTAAGTGGAAATCAACCGAATGTGATAGACGTAATCAGGGATGCGTTCGCTGTTGAATTTGCATCGAATGAAGATAGTATTATCTATACTAAACAAAATTATAGACGTCGACCCTACCAAGTATGGTTAAGAGCGTTCGATTCTAGACTAACGGATCGACTACTCTTCCAAGAAGATGACGAAAAGTATTTCCTACATATTGTATGTACAAAGAATCATCGCTTTCTTACTATTAACTTGAATTCAAAATCATCATCTGAGGTACGTACGTATTCAATTTTTCTGCTTTAATTATCAGCATTTCGTGACTAGTTTCTATGTATTTGTTACCCTAACAGGTTTGGGCTTTAGATACAGAAAAATTGAAATCTAAACCGGTTCTTATTAAAGAAAGGGAACTTGACTGTGAATGTTATGTCGATCATAGCAACAATCATTTTTATATATTAACTAATGACAAATCTTCAGGAAAATATAAGGTAAATGAAAATGCGTGCGACTATCTTTTGCATACCGACGCCATTTTCCATGTCATGCTTTTAATGGCTTATTAAGAATCAGTTACAGTGTGTCATTGCCCAATGAATTGCAACTTTACAGAACAGATTTTGATAGTAATTGATTATATTGAATATTTAATCTACACACGGCTACATTTTAAGTAAACAGCTTTTGCGTTAGACATAAATTATATAATTATTATTCTTCAGCCAGGAATGGATGAGCACTTGAGCAGCTTATCGTATGTTTTGGATGATGAAACTTTGAATCTATTCAAGCTGCTTTACGCTAATAAATGCTAGTTAATAACGTTATAGAATGTGTATCAACCAAGACTATTTAGAATCAAATTATCGCTATACTAATTCTCAGTCATGTATTGGCACAGAATCTTGATACGAGTGTGGTGTACATAATGAAAGCTTGTAATACTTTTTGGACAGGTTATGATGGCACCTGATCAAAATCCTGGTCGTGATAATTGGAAAGAACTGCAAGCTATGGATAAGGACTCTGCTAGTGATAGTACTGACACTCTCTTAGATGATATGGATATCTTTGCAGATTATTGTGTTCTCTACCAAAGAGAAAACTTAGAACCGCAGATAACAATAGTTAACCTACATTCACCACTCCAATGCCAAACCTTTAAACTTCCTATTGGTACCATCGCCTCTGCTTCTAACTTTACTTTCTCCGCAGATACTGTAAGGTTTTCATATTCGTCCCCTCTAATTGCTGATACATTTTATGAGTTGGATATGAGAACTATGGCATTAAACAACTTGACGCCATCAACGATTGGCTTGGATAGTGATCAATACTCATTCTATATTTCACATGCCACTAGCAAGGTTAGACAAAGTAACACTAACCTAGATATTACGATGCTACGTGAAATGATATAGGTCTATTATTTGATATTATTATTTTAAGTGTGAATTTCAAAGTTAATTACTACAAAATCATTTACAGGATGGATGTAAAATACCAATATCGTTATGTCATCGCAAAGATATCGTTCTGAATAGCAGCACTCCTTTGCTAGCCATAGTTTATGGTGCTTATGGAATGGAATTAAACCGACAGTTTTCAGTTCAAAATATGTGTTTGTTGAAAGCTGGATGGGTTCTTGCCTTCTGTCATGTCAGGTGATTAAACTTTATATGTACAGTAAGGCATTAATCGACATTACCAAGGATACAGTTGATAAATACTACCAAAAACTGAACCGAAGATGTGCATAACTCTATTTTGTAATTGCTATATTTTACCATTAAATTAAATGCAGCAATTACATGTTTCATTTTAATTTTACAGGGGTGGTGGTGAATTTGGAAGGCATTGGTATTATCAAGGTCGTCAACTTAATAAAATGAATTCATTCTATGACTTCTTAGCTTGCATTAATGAGGTACAAGATCAAGGCTACACTAAGCCAACATTGACATCTTGCAAAGGTACTAGTGCCGGAGGTTTGATTGTTGCTCATCTTTGTAACAATCACCCGAATAAAATAGCTGCAGCAATTATGAAGGTAAGCTTAGAGTAGCCGATTGCATTGGCCTGTAGTATGTACCATACTGGAAATTAAATACAAGGTTTATCGTCTATTTATGATCTTGTCATTTTAGGTACCACATGTAGATATCTTGGGAACGATGCTTGATCAGTCCTTGCCATTGACTGTCGAAGAGTATGAAGAATGGGGTGATTTAAATTCCAGCCATGTATTTGACTATATTTGTTCTTACTGCCCTTACACCAATATTCAGCGCAATGTAGGTTTCTGCTACATAGTTTAATTTTGTTATTTAAATACACGTATGCAATTGTTGTTGCTGAATGCATGTTACTTTTTTGTATTGGTCTTATTTTTTTGTGCCAACTATTAGCTTTATCCTTCTTTGCTATTAACTGCATCTTATAATGACAATCGAGTACCTTATTGGTCTCCAGTTCGCTTTATGGCAAAATTGAGAGCAGCTCAACGAGACTATCAATCACAACATGAAGGTGCCACAACGAATAATAAAATTTATCACATCTTAAAAACTAATCTGTCATCCGGTCATTATGGTACAGCTGGCGATGAAGGATTAAAAGAGGTAATGCCTAATGTGCCTGAATTTGTGAAACTTCTACCAACTACAGTAGTATCTATGTAATACTAGTCGTAGATGCAATTCCAATTGGGAACGGCTGTAGTTATGTTAAACGAACGATATTGGTAACCTAGGGGTTAGCGGACACAAAGATACTATTTAATGTTCCGTAATTGATTGACTAGATTCAATTATTTTTCTGGACTATATTTACACACTGCTTCTATAATAGTCAACTTTATTAGCTTTATTGATGCTTTGCTTCATGAAAGCGTACGAATTTATTAATAGCTCCGTTGCTTCACTGAATATTGTATCAGTTGGTAACATAATAAATTTGCTTTATACTGCAGGCTGCTTTTGAGATTGCATTCCTCCATAAAGCCCTAGATCTGCCTGACGAACTCTTGAACACTTTTAACTAGAATCAACGAGAGATCCTATTACCATTTTAATACATATTCTATCTATACAGAATTGATAAATTACAGCCGCAATAAAAGACGAATCTGTTTCTGTCAAACAATGACATTAATCTTATAGTATAAAGAGTTCTGCATGATTAGTAATATTTCTCTTTGTGCCGATACTACCCAGTTGCTTAGATATTTTTAGGCTATTGAAGTGTCTCATGGACAAATCAAGTAAGTGAATGAGGTATTCAGAGAATCTTTACTGTAGCAATATGTCAAATAATCAATCTCTTACGTATCTTCGGCCATATAATTCATTAGTGGAATTAAAATGCGTTCAAAATTCAGAATTTTCGTTATGCTATTTCAAATGTAATCAATGATACTTCACCAGTACATTTAAAATGATCCTGTAATCCGGCTAGGTATCTACTTTTATTATTAACAACATTATGATTCTACCTTGAACTTCTGTGAACATTCTATTTATACTTGCTATTCTATACGCTGTATTAATTAAGTTTGGTAACACTACGATGTCATTATCTTTAAAAAGAGAAGATAACTATCATATCTCTGTCTATATAAGTAATCTAGAAATTACTTGGTTGTGGCACAGTTATAGCACAACGTACCGAACGCTATGCATCGTTCATTGAAATTATTGCGTATCTGAGTATCACAATATTGAATGGATGAATCAAGAATTGATTGTTCGTCTTGAAGAGCTGTTACTTCTTTTATAGATTTTATAACGCCAGGCTGCTGCTATTCATAGTTAAATTAATTCTTCTATAAATAAATCGACTACTTTCACGTTATTCTCATCCGAGCATATCTTTACCTTAGCACTATAGTATGATGACGAAGCAATTACGCTGGGCTTTATTTACTCTGCGGTAAACTAAATTCAGCATCACGTGAGGTCGATTGAATGGCCCTTGATTACATAAGCAGTACCAACTATGAATTTCTTCTATTTGTTGGTAGAACAACTACTAGAAAATTTATTATTCATGATACAATGAATCCAAGCTATATTTATGCTAGGAATTAGAATTATCAAGTAGGAGTATATTCAAAAACCAGGATATTGACTGTCCAAATTACGTGACAGAATTCGCCAGCTGCCATTAACTACTCTTGTACCAACAAGCCGTCATTTCTTGGACGAAGCATTACTTTTTGATGAATAGATTATGGGATAATCTATTTCCTCGATGTTATGTAATAAACAACTGTACTAATATTATGATATTGACGAGGCAATTACAATCTATGGTAGCATCATTTTATTGCCATCATCAGGAATATATCGAATCCGATTGTCATAGTGGATATCCGTGATATCATCTATGTGTTAAGAATGTAGAAACCAGAGTTCAAAGATTACTTATCTAACAGATTGATTTTTTTGCATGCGACATATGCTGTTCTATTGTTAGTGTAACTGTTCCCTATAACAAAGTCGTTTTCCATCCTATAACAACAATGAAAAGATTAAATTTCGTCTTATTAGACTCTAATAGTGCTTACCCCTTCTTCTATTTTGTCAGATTGTAAACGTTAATTAGATTGAAAAGGATACCCCCAACAACTGATAATTATAATGGCGGTCGTTAGAAATGATGGTAATCGATTAATTATCAGAAGGAAATGAATTTATCGATATAAGATAACATAGTACAGTAGTATATTTGCGTTGAGATAAGAATCGATCAAGCCATGTACAGTAAATTGATGATGATCGTGAGTAAACTAAAGGAAATGGATTTATTGATTAAAAAATAAAAATAAATAGCAATGGATACAGCTTGGCCTGGGAATAGAACGGGATCTTCTGTCCTAAGATTACTGTATTACTATACCGTCCACCGTGCTCACTGCCGGATGAAATCTTACGAATTATTCCCCTGAAGAATTTACCTATATCTAGTTGTAGCACGTATAATTTTTTCATATATACTACCACTGCATGAAAATCCATTATCAACTTTTGTCCTTATCTCCAAGAAAGACGTTCAATTGAAGTATCAACAAAATTTCCTTATGCTATACCGCAAGTGCAAATAAAATGGTACCGTAGGTCCTATCCTCTCTAATCTATAATACTGTGATGCTCACTATAAAATTCAAACAGAAATGCTTGAAGAACAAACTAATTCACTCCATATTGAAACTACCATCAGCCTTACATCGATCGAGAATAGTCTTTAATGCACTAAATACTATAACAATCGAAACCTGTATTTTAAAATATCTAGGCGTACAGTACTCGTCAGTTAAGTAAAAATTTCAATAATATTATTATCTTGCCAAATGAATTAAAATTGTACGTAGATTAGACTAAGTACATATTATGGCAACGTACAATATAAGATATTAATATTTGGGTGCGCAGCTCAGCCAGAATGCAAAATTTCTGCATAATATTATTTAGTAACATCACTGCTTTCATTCAACTTTCTAGCAGGAATGAGATTGAAAATCATATATCTATTGACTGGCGAGAAATCGCATACATTACAAAACAATAAGCAAATTAATACTAAAATCCGTTAAATAACAACCATTGTGATTATAAATAGCTGGTAATAATTGCTAAATTTTAAGAGTTAAGCAGTAACAAGAGAAAATAAAGTGTTTGCAATACTAAAGTTAACACATCGAGAAGCTATCATTCAAATGGTATAAGATGGATTAATGGTAACAAGGTAATTGCATCAACCAGAATACAACAACACCATCTTACAATTTTAATAGTAAATAAAGCATTTCAATATTACTTCCAAGCACTATCCACATGACAATTGTTTTGCTATACAACAGGAGACAGTACCAACTTCCTGAGATGTACTCAATTGAAAGACTTATTACCGTTATCATAATACTATCAATATGATTTACAGCTGCTCATAGCTGTTATTTACAACTGCATTGATTTATCTTTCTCAAGGTGTTAACTCCAACTATCTAAATCCACTCAGTGTGGGTCATTCCTATATGGCAGTGGCGATTCCATAGAAATGATTTATGAATCAAAACGTTAAAAGCTAACCCTTTACTAATAACAGTGATTAACTACAAATATTTTTTTATTCAGAATAAGATTTTAATCTATCTACTATGCACAAGACATTACTACATATAACTTATTAAATAGATAGAACTAGAACAATGAAAGGACATTCACTATACTACTTAATTTTTTTGGGTCATATAACTCATGTTGTCCAGTGATCCGATGACAGCTATGATTTCGTAATATTGTATCCGTGCGATACGTTGCAATACTTCTACCCCAACTTACTAACCAATTTGTACTACTACGGCTTCACCACTGGCTAGCTGTATGTTGTTCAATTGAACGGTAGTGCCATGAACACTAGACCTAGTAGCCGCTTTGACAGTAGCGGTTGTAGCAGATGTACCATAATACTGTTTGATGTCAACATTTTGTGAAGTTGCACCAACATTGGCAACAGTCATGACAACGTAGCTTTTACTACTGGAGTAACGGAAGAAAGCGAAAACTTCATTGGTGGCCATAACACGACTGTAGTTGCCCGTTTTGAGTAAATCTTCGCTAGCTCGAAAGGCTGTGATATTTTTATAACGTTCTAGGTTAGAATCGACCGAGCCAACTTGACTAGCGACATTAACAGTTGAGTAATCACTTGCAAGTGGTAACCACGTTGATGTACCATTAGTAAAGTCGGCATTGGTGGTTGAATTCCATGCCATTGGTCCTCTTGTTTTATCTTGTGATACAGTGGCATAGTTGGTAGGGCCGTAGAGTAGAGCTAATGGGTCACGAGTTTGTGCATAAGAAACAGTGCTATCAATCATACCAATTTCTTCGCCGTAATAACTGCTGGGCACACCGGGTAAAGTCATCATAATAAAGTTCAAAGCATCAATATATTGGCGACCGAAACTTGCAGCAACTCGGGTTTTAGCTTGGTTACGCAACATCCAATGTGGATAACGATTGGGTGAAGACATGCTAACAGTAGCAATCCAATTGGAGACAACATTGGCAATACCAGTACCAGTTAATGGGCCATTGTTGGGTAGTAGACTATAGGTTAACAAGTAGAGAGCATTGAATTTACACGATTGGCTAACGGTTATAGCATTGATATCGTTGGGCACTTGACCAACCAAGAAGGTATACTTGGTGTCAGTATAGCCAGCAACTTGAGTATTCCATTCAGATAAGACACTAAATGATGGTCTGACATTGCCGTTGACAGTTGAACCACTACCGAAATGCCATTCCATACCATGGATATTGAAAGCATCAATACCTAATTTAAGATAATAACTGAAAATCCTTTTGATTTCAGCACGCAACGAACTACTCTTGAAATTTAACTCTGGTCGTTCCTTGATATCATAGTACATGTAATATTGTTGGCGGAGATTATCATATTGCCAATGGATATTGTTATTCTCTGTTGAACTCCAATTGACTCGTGGTGGGCCACCATTGTATGGATTTTCCCAAACATACCAGTTACTTTTGGCATTATCAAGAGAGCTTCGACTTTCAATAAACCAACTGTTGTTGTTGCTGGTAGCGGTAGGTAAAAAGTCGAGCATAATTTTCATTTTTTTCTTGTGGACAGCGCGAATTAAAGCAGATAAATCGGCAGTTGTGCCTAATTTAGAATCAACAGCGGTAAAATTCGATTCCATGCCGTTGGGTTTGATCCCAGTAGTCGGTGCCTCATACAATGAACTTAACCAGAGTGTTTTGACATTTAAACTAGCAATGTAGTCTAACTTGGATAAAATGCCATTTAAGTCGCCAATTCCGTCGCCATCACTATCTTTATACGATGGTACATAAACTTTGTACATGACATTTTGTTGATACCAAGTACGTTCTTTAGGGCATCGTTTAGGCATGGTAGCAATTAAGGCAAAGGCGGCAATCAAGACACCAATAGTACCCAATGCGTACGCCCATAAGAAAATTTTACGTGTTAAAACTAACCCAGGCGTATAAAAATCAATCTTTTCCTTTTCACTTGGGTTGTCAACGTTATTGGATTCGCCATTTCTGTGATCTTCTTCAGTTCCCATTTTGGATTTTTTTTCTTTTCCTCTTGTACGTTAGTCGCAGTCTTAGACAGCACACACACACACACGAAAAAAGGAGTTTACACTTTTCCGGTCTTGACTCACTTGTCTACAATCAACGTTGAGTTAAAAGGGCAGTTGAAAGAAAGAAGATCCTTCTCCTATAATACCAATAGCAAGGGGGAAAAAAAAGGATAACGTCAATTCATCTACTTTCTACTCTACCCTGTCATGGTCTGTATCCAGTTGGCTTTTAAAGCACTATTCTATGCAAAGGACTTACAAAAACCCGTGATAACAATCCACAAAAACAATTCCGCGCCCAAAACACCGTGTGAATCTAATAGTAGCGACAGTGAAAAAAAATACAGTACAGTCAAAGACAATAAGAGGACTCAAAATGGCGAGGATGATTTAGTTACTGTAGCGTATCAACATAAGCAATCTGCAATAAAAAAACAACCCTTTGCTCTCTCTCACTACCAACATAAAATAACCATTAAACACTTATTCATCATGACTGTATATAGAATGAAGTAAGACTTTATCCACGCTATAAGAAGAAGGAAAAAAATGGCTTGAAATTCAAAGATTTACAGTGGCGAAGAAAATTCCATTACCTCGTGCCAGGAGCCAGCGACGTTTGTTGTTGTATGGATTCGTTTTTCCTTTCTAATAATGGTCAAGCGGTAGCGGTAAAGTGAAGTGTGTACTCACCACAAGCGACCATCTGCCGTACAATAGGGCGATGAGAGACCAATCAGAGCTGGCGAGAGCCACCTTGAGCTACAATCTTATTGGCTAGATGCCTGCCGATCAACAATGCCCCCAAATTGTACATTGACTGGTGCATTCCATTTGGCGCAATGCTGTACCGTACTATCCATCAAGGCGTACTGTACAATGTTGGCGGGTACTGTACGCCGGCTGAAAGGATGGAAGGAGTGTCTCATGCTGACGAAATCAATCATGACGGCTTGCCATACTGTAGCGTTCATTCCAAGCGCATCAACGATGAACGATGGAGTGGATTAGTTTACTTTACGTAGTAGTCGATGTGGAAAATACACAAGCATCGACATGATTGGACTATAAACAGTCAGTGGAATACACATGCTTTTCCTCTAAGCAGTCGACTATTGTACTTGCTTGGATGGGTAGCAAGAGCAATGTGTCGAACTGGTGAATTCAATGGACAATACTACAAAACTTGCTGGAAACGAACATGAATTACTCGATCATAATGATAGGCGATCAATGACTAAAGCAAGGATGGATTACAAATCAACTTGGACATCCTTGATTGCTTATTCAGGTCTTATTTTGCACAATTGACGGCGTAATACAGAGCAACACTAAGGCTGGACACAACACGTATTAAAAATAAATATGCGTAAATTAATAAATAAACACCACACACAGGTTCATGCCACCTTGTCACTCATGCTGACGTTTTGCAAGCGTCAACATTGGACGTTGGTGTAGTAACAAAGACAAGTTGAAAATCTTGTCGTTACAGTGGCCAATGGTCCATGATGAACATTGAATTGGACCGTTTGATTTCTACGGCTAAAAATTAATGGATATATAGCGGTATAGGCCGAAAATCAATACTTCTTTCTCACTTGCAACGACTGTCACTGTCAACAAATGGAAAAATGTTTAGTCATGGATAGACTCATGCGTGTTACTCTAGTATGGATAGGAGTCTTTGTAAATGATACAAAGCTCTATCTCTCTCGAGGTAGTTTACAACAGTACGGTGCTACTCGAGAGGAAAATGAATGATGATGCAATCTATTCTTGGACAGCGCGCAAACCGCTATCCATTCCTGAACGTAGACGGCTCTAGACTGTTCAGTATAGTCAAGCAATTCATGTTTTAGTGGCTTCTAGCCTATCCCATATTTACATTAAACTGCTCTGTATCATGTGTACCGGTTGTATGTACCCACAAAGGTAGCATGGACTCCATTCAGCCGCCCTTTGAACTCTACTTTAGATACAGTATTCAAAATCCCAAGTCATGATCATGGATGTATTTTAAATTAAGCGATCTTGTGCCTGAGAAAGACACACTATGCCTATGTAACCCTAACATTTTTGGCTTGTCCATCTTTTGGGAGGCCTTGCATGACTTTTGAATATTGTCATGATTGAATTAACACTGTTATGCTGTTATGGGTAAGGTAGGAGGACTGGATTAATTTTCACTACCGCTGAGTTTTGAACAATTGCCAAGGCTAGATAGACTAGCATGATCTGGGGACGGACTTGAACAATTCATTAAACTAGACCACACCACTACAGCAAGTAGTGCATAACCGTAACATATTACTGCTATTAGTGTAGAGTACAGTTGTAGGCGCTAGATTGCCATCAGCCCTTTCATTAACATAATAAACATCGCCCGTTTCGACACCACTTTATCCTTTATAATTGCAGAATAAATGAATGGGATACAATTATTCAACATTATTCATAGCAATAAAATGGATTGACGATTGCCCAATAAATGCCTATACATACTGGACTCTACTACAGTATGGATTAAACGCCTTGACAATACTGCAAAACTAACGGATTGATCAAAACAACAATAACTATTGGATTGGCTTAGCATTTAATAGCAACGCGAAATAGCTTGCGGGGTACGGATGCTTGAATGAATTCATTATCATTTCAATGCAATCCAGTAGAATGCTGTATTTGAATGGGAATCATAGCGCTTTCCTGCCTCTTCGCGACAATCGATGAGATTAATGGCAATTAGAACATGATTGATTGTTCTGTGTTATCATCACTAGGGTGTGGAGGATACAACTTTGGATGCTTGTCTATGATTTTGATGCTGATCTGTCATACCATTTATCACTCTGCCATCATCTCAAGCCATTGGATTAATTGATTTATCTTTTCCCTCTTGTCCAAATCGTCATCCATCCATTTGTGTCCTTCTACTACCATGTTTACTTTTCGTGTCCCAAAATAATTCACCATGTTTACAAATACTGCAGCAATTATTCGTCGATACTGTTACAGTACTGGTACTATCCTAGTCGGTCATACAGTATTAGTACTGTAGACCAGAAGAGAATCTACTGGAGCCTACAGTACTGTACGCTATGTCGGTAATGCGTGTGTACTGTACTGTATTGGAGCGTGCCACGGTTACTACGAAATAGTGGATTGGACGTCAATAACCGGTAATAACCGGTTAAAAGGCAATCATAATAAGTAATAACAAATCCGGCGGAACCGGTTTCCCCACGGAGCACCCTATGACTATGGCAAGTAATGGGAGTCTCGTCGAATAATGTTCAAGTCCAGTCATGGACTACTACTTCGTTGGTAGTCCATGGCGCAGTATATAGTAATACAACGTTGTCAAGTAAGTGAGCCGATACGGTCCCAAATAGTCATGGTTGCTTCGTTAACACGATGATTCCTTGGATGGCCATCGTTCATGATCATCATGTCCTTTGCTGCATGGTATTTTACCATGATGAACATCTTGTATTCATCACTAAAGTAGTCTGCACTTTTAAATCAAAGCGACATTTTTAATTACGCTCTAATTGATGATCATTCATTATGTTATCACCTCCTTTGGATTAAATCCTGATGCTAATCAATTTAGTAAACAATAAGATTCATTGATCGACAAGATGAAAAGTTGCGTCATGGTTAACTTAATAGCCTTCCATTCATCCCATTCAAGAATCCTGCTACAGTAGATTTTTGGTAGAAAATGAGTACAAATGACTCCACTTGCTCTGCTAGTAGGCAGTCATTAACATGCAGATCTCTCTGTGTCACTCCCTTGATAAAATTCTGAATTATCAGCATGTGAAAATGAGGCACTGACATCGTTATCGTATCCACTATCCACTATCCACGGAGTATATAATACAGTAGTCATTCCGTCGTTGTCAACTATACACGTATAGTACAGTTGAATATGGACACTGTACAAGAGTACATAGCGGACACATGCATACTTAAAAGTATGCATAGCATTTTCCAGTCTGCTCCGAAATTAAAAGTAGAGTAAAGTTTTCCAACGTGGTACAGGAGTGAAAACAGGACTAATTTAGCGTCTTGACAAGATTGGTTTCCATGAGTTAAATCAATACAATAGGCAGTATCTTCACAATACTGGAAGGCATATGAATGATTATAAATTGGACCCTCAGCGGAATTCCATCAGGCCCATTAGTAACCAGCTCTATAATTGCTTGTCATTCCAGCATCCCGACCTTTTTCATCATCTTGCAATGATTAATAGATCAGATAGTTAATTAACAACAGCAGCGATAGCTAATTAATATCGTTCAATCTGGTCATGGCATCATTGGTATGCAGTCTGAATAGAGCTTGCCTATCAGAATTACAAAGTTTAGTGTGATACTTGCTAGTTTACAGCAGACTCACTTTACTATTTACAGTGTTGTACACACGACTGCAGGTGGCATCGCTGGGATGCCGAGAGTGGAGTGTGGGGCGGTATCGTCATTATTGAATTTTGTTATTTTATCCTACGGTACAGTTAGGAGTATAGTATAAGCGAAGGATAAAATCTACACAGGACGCGAAAACATTGATCACTATCAGCTAAATTTGTCGAACAAACTAAATACGCTTATGCAAGCAAATAGCTGATGCCATCTACATTATAACATTGAAAATAACATGCACATTTAGGAATGCATTGCGTTTCGTTTTAAGGTGTCAGTAGAATATAGTAACACAGTAGTAGCCTAAAATACAAGATGGCAAGGCTTGAATGGATTTATCAAACTTTTCCAGCGTACGTATACGATGCATCGAAATAGATTCCAACGGGTAATGTTACCAACGATAAAGAAATTAGTAAAGATTTAGGCCTTAACTGATCATTGCATGCATATACGAATTACAATGCTGGCATAACAACTCGTACGTACGATTGTATAGCAATTAAACTGTACAGTACTGTACTACTGGCTATGTTCATTCGATTAACTCAAATCTAAGCCATTATTGATTTCACAAAGTATAAGTAAATTTGATCAAATCAAAATGAAAACAGTGACAAAAATGGATCATGGACAACTAATTCCCATTTAATGTGGTTTCTAAGCCGAATCTAGCTAATGTTTACTGTATCTTTTGAAGGTAATAACCAACGAATCAAAAATTAACTATTTTTAACGTATGTACTACAACGGAGAATTGATGAATGATTAATTATATAAATATACGCCCTGCATGACAGAAAACATCCACTGCTGGTGGCCAATTCGTTAAAAATAACTAGAAATTACTTGTTTACTCGTATACGTATTGATATACTGTTCAGTAAATAAGCCGGTATACTACTATACCTTCTAAGTATGAATGAATCCATCTGCCATAAGAAACCCTGGTTGTCTATATGGATAAGAAAGACATGGCCTGTATTTAGATACAGGCATCATGTGAAAATAAAAAAATATCGGATATAATTTAATGCAATTTTACCTTCATAAGTATGCTACAATAAAACGCTTACATATACTGCAGTTGAAATGCTATAGTGCTATTTCAAACCTGACGTAGAATAAAGCTACAGCTTAATTAATTGCTGTATATTATTGGCGTGTGATTTGTACAGTACAATTTGCGTATTTACTCAAACATATATATATAATTTTATAATAATAAGCAAATACTATAAATAATATTAATTGGACTTTCTCGACCCATCTTTACTTCAACTGTATTCTTTAACTGAAAACATAACATGACCATTAGAAGGAACATTCCGTTCTTAACTAGCTTCTCTATGAAAGATCTTTATTTTCCAGTTTAATCATATCAATAACAACTTCAAGGGCAAATTTGACATAAATACCAATACTTTCGCTCAATGATCGGTATTATCAGAAAGGATATCGAACATTCAGTAATATTCAAGATAGATTTTAAGTACTTGAGAATGTTAGTGCAATGATACTATACAGAATTCACTAATGAGACAATACCGAGCGTATTCAGCACTGCTCATAAGTGATAATTTTAGTAATAGGAAATAAATAGGCATTAAAGTTTAATATCCAATAAACATCTCCAATATAAGCTGCTTTTGAATTGTTAATAATAGTTATATATACAATATCTCTATAGTACAAAAATAAAAAAATAGACCCAGGTAAATCTCTTATCATTACTAAAGAGAATCAGTATATAAAAAAGTTACAATTGCATACAAATCGTACTCGATGTACATGCATTATATAACTTGCAATATGAATAATATACATTACAAATATAATCGGCTAATAAAATTAAACTTTTTTAACTATCATTCTTTTCATTATGGAAGAGCAATATTTTCGTTGTACAATCATTCATGAAAATTAGTAGTAATAAAGACAAAATATATATAAAATAGACCGAGCCGTGTATCGATATTTCGGATGCACCAGGATATCAATAGAAGCCTCATCAAACGAAGAAAAAGGTGTTAGGTAGACCATAACTCTATAAGGCAGATATACCCATCCATAAACATCGTTAATATTTAAAAGTCGATGGCTTCATACAGCTATATTCCATAACTAGCAGCAGTAAAGCCAACTTGGCAATTTTCTGCAATTACTGTCTACACAGGTACGAATGAACGATAAAAAATGGTGGCAAGAATAAACAATACCAACGTTAAATAAAATAGCTTGCCCGAAATTCGTAAACACCAGCTAGTTAACTACTGTAATCCGAATCATCAGAGTTAGACTCATATAGAATTTCATTTGTTAATGTTGCTTCATTATCATTTGTAGGTACACTTTCATATTCAATTGGTCCAGTTTCATAGGCAATCGGTCCAGTTTCTACAGTGACATCGCTCGACAAAACTTCTTCAGGTATTGTCTAGATATAAATGCGTAAGAAGACCTCCTCAGGAAACTCATCATTTCCACGATTGATTAACAGGAAATATCTTCATCAATTAGCAATCTCATTAAGTACGATCTTACCTTCAAAATTTTCTTACTAGATGATGCGGGAGTAGAGGTAGATCTGAAGACAAACAAATAGAAAATAAGAAAAACAATGTCAGGCAACAATCAATTTCATTTCTTTTACTATACCTCTGGTTGACTGTATCTTTCGAAGTGTTAGCCGAGTTCGAATTCTTTTCCACGCTGCTAGTGGTGCAAGCGTTAGTTTCCGTTAAGTCCCTCAATACTTCATAATTGATTTTACTAGATATCTTTTTCTCGGCGAGCATTTTCTCAATTGCTTCTCCAACCGAATTTGCTGGTGAAATAAGTTGATTTCTTTTATATTTTCTCTTTCTCTGAAGGACAAAAATTTTCACATTTTATAATAAGTAATAGGTCAAAAACTAGATTCCATAACTTGATTTACAAATACGAGCAATCAATAAGTCATCTTAACGTTATTGATGAGTATTTTAAAATTACCTTTTTGGATTCAGGTTTATCATTAGAATCTTTATCAATTCGACTTGCTTTTTCTACGTTATAAAGGTTAGCACAAATAATAGCAATATAGTTAAGTTTCATAATGCTACCTAAGGTGATAAAGCCATGCAAGCATTCAAACCTAATTGCGCAGTTAGGTAATCTTTATTTTCTTCAGTCCAAACTTTAGTTTTAATTTCAACTTCTTTTTCGTCTAACAAATACTTTGATGACAAGAATTTTATAAGAATATTATATTAAATTAACAATACAATGTGTATCGGAAGTTTTGACCAATATGTTTTAGTACAACTTTTATTTTACCTCATTAATCTCATCATCATCAACATATGAAAGATCTTCCTCAACGCCTTTATCTAGAAATAAAGACAATTTAATTTTACTTCAGTGTTATAAATATGCAATAACATATTTATAGATTCTTTTGACAACAGAAAAATTATCTTGATGTATCATACCGTTAAATTCTTGTGTAGCAAGAGATGGGGTCCTGCCACATACAGTTTCAACGGTTGGCAATGGGCCTGATAGCCTTGTACAATAACTGTTAGTAGAATTTAAGACAGGTATATTATCCCTCTTTTCTTCTTCTTGGTTGGACTGTTCTACATCTTTACAAATAAAGTAAGGCAATCGGTTTGATAATATTAGTATAGTTATTCGATGATATCAAATATATAAATTTGCAAACCTTCTAATAATCGCTTCTTTTCAAGCACCTTCTCAAGCTCTTCTTGAATAGCTTGAACTTCCCCTGTAAACAATTAACGTTCATATTTATATTCGCATATTTTATATCTTCAAATTTCTAACATAATCCAATAGTAATTAATATCATGGAGTACCTGCTAAATCCGTTGATATCACTGGATCTTCCTAGAAAAAACAACAAAGTAGCACTAATATTACAACACTTAACTTCCTAAGCCACGCTCTAGCCATAACAAGGTGTTTGGTGCAATAATAGAAAGCTATACCTGAAACTGTTTAGCACGCTTTCTACTTTGCGTAAATGATGGAGGATCTTGCTCTTCTTCTAAATCTATCTTTTGAAATTCATCTATAGTAAGCTTTGCCGATGGGGTTTCTTCGAACTCGCCAAGTCTGTAATGCAAGTGTACGAAGTACTTAATATAATCGCATAGTTACTTCTAAACACGAAAGCTACAGAAAAATTCGAATACAGAAGTTACTAATCTCTGCACAAATGATACGCAAACTTTCAATATAGTGTTTTCACTTTATATGCGAACAATTTACAGGCCCATGATTGGGAAGAAGGCTATCACCTTTTTCTAAGTGTAGCTTCACAAACTCGAACTACACGGATTATCTGCTTTTTCGTACGATTATAACCATGAAGTCGTGCAGAAACTAAAAGACCTGATAAGTATAATAAAGTTGATCATTTTAGAGTCCTGACGATACAATATAAGTCCAAGTAGCTAATATACGTAGTTCAATATTTTCAAAGTAACTATTATAACATCATCCATTCTATTATACCAAAGACGTAAAGTTACTACTGTATCCACTTAATGTTGTCCAGTATACATATGTTTGCGGAATCGCAATTCAAAGATATCTTGAATCAGTAATCATTCGCAGGTAAAAAAGAAACTATGTTTATAAATATCTTACCAGCTCCGCATAAGCCCGATGGGCGTCTACCATGGTGCATCCAATCACGTTTCATTCTAGCAACTAATCTTAACGCCATCATACATACATCGTGTGTTTTATCGCCAAATTCCAGTTTGTTTGCAAAACGATGAATGTATAAACAAGGGTCTGTGATCACAAAATCGAAACTATTAGTCATGAGCGTTCATACGTCGTATAATAATATGAACTAATGTGATATTTCTAATATATGAGAATAGCAAATAGATATACGCGTATTCAACAGTAACAGCAATTGCTTAATAATCAAGGTAAAGAAAACAACATAAATAACCCGTCATGCTAATTGACCCTACTCGCATCTTATTGCACTGACATAATTTAGAGTATTCGTTTATGCTAAAATATGCAATCTTACCAATAGCTGGAATATTGATGGATAAGGCTGCGGTGATCCTTAAGTAAGTTTTACCCAGCACGTACACATTAACCTAATTCCAATAATGATACCAAGGTTCAAATAGCGTACAATAAAGATCATTATTAAAATAATCCCGGAGACAGGTCTTACTTTTATAATATTTTTAATACTTTATAACATATGCAATCATTAACTAAGTTATCCAACAAATAGTCTTTGTAATTTGTATATCAACTTTACCTGTAAGATATCGCTGAAATCGAGCAGCATGTCTAAATGCATTTTAATAATACTGTTAAGGAGATAACACTCGAAAGCAATAACGCAGTTTCAGTGTTATATTGCTAGTTTACAACACGAATTGATAAGCAACAGATTACGATGATAATTCATTAGATCAATCACTAGAGATTATATAATAAAATATAATTATCGATTCCGTTCAGGAAAATAGTACTGGAAGATAACATGGCAAAGGATACGTGGAGTACCTTCTACACGACATACAATGTATAAGCAAGCAGCAACAACATGAGATGTCTTTCTACCCCTAGTTAATCTCTTGTTGACAGCCATTTTAAAAAATCGATAACCCATATCAATACAATTCTGATTCAGTTTTAGCTGTTGCCCTAATTGAGTCAATCTCTTCTTTCCTATAGTTCAATGATAGCATTATCTCTATTCATTAATTTATAAACAGCAGTACGCAAAGGTAGTATGATTATTCTGGCTATTCGTTACACTTAGCTACATCTCTAGAATAACGTCGAAAAATATTTGCAATACTTTACAGCATCAACTTATCGGCCACTTTATTAGGACTGCGTACGGTGCAGTAATGGCATACGGTGTTTACATGCTATTTTCAAGTGTAATAAAAACATAGTTTTACCATTTTGTAGCGTTATTTCCCGCGATTCTTTGCTAAAACCATGAAATCCGTCAACATATCCATGAGATTTACCTATCACAATATAAGATATACAAGTTATGGGTAAAAATAGCAACAAATGTAGCAAAAAGGTTGATTTATCCTGTCATACCTTGTTGCAGAAATGACATTACGCTGTATATTTTGTACTGCCATAAGGCAAAGCTTATAATGCGCTAAGTCTCATGTTGAGAATAAAAGTATAGTATCTCCTGATCATTCCTGTTTCTACAGTGGTCATTATTATATTATCTATAATAGACAGCTACAAGTATAGAGGAGTTCATCCATCCTATTACAACCATGCATTGGAATAGCTTTAAAATAGTATTTAAAGACAATTCTACCATTTCGATATAACGTGTTTCCATGATTGTTTTGCAACGAAACAATACGTTGCCCTTATCAAAAGTGCAAGTCAATAACTAATCACTTTGGCTATTGCATTTCTATACGTTGTTATTACATATTAAAGTAAACTAGCTAATTGATGGTCGGGATTAACGATATCAATAACGATTGATCGTCTAATCATGTCATGACTATGACTGATTGCACTTACCATCGGGAGCTACATACTGTCCAATGACACTAGCACCTCCCATAGCATTCTCCTTAAAGCTGATTTCCGAGACGATAATACTATCCTCTAAAACAGCACCACACGACGTACAAGCTGCATCTCCTCGTGCTTGATCGTAGTCAATATCAGTACCACCACATTTAGGGCAAGAACTCGGCATGATGATTACTTTGAAGATATCTCCTTTACTTTCAAGATGATTTCCTTCTTCCTTTACCATCCAATAATAATAATAAATCCTCTCATGGAAAACAAATAGACAGTCTACTAAACATTTTTCCACCTCCACAAGCCATCACGCATGCGCCCAACAGACTATGAGTAGTGAGGCGATCGAGGGTATCGTATCACCATAATACGTCATACAGAATCGTATAGAGATCACGTGCTGTATCCTACGCTAGACTGCGAAGTTCGTTGCTGCTTCAGTGGTAGCGTCGAGTGACCGGCGAATGGACAGTCTGTGTAAAACTCTGATCTGCTGACACAAGGCAGCTTATATGGTATTACAGGACAAAAATTCTGCACAAAGTTAGCTTTCCATACATTCAAGTCATCTTGGTAATGTATGCTACATTTCGTATAGTCCAGTAGGGCTGTTCAAAACGACGCTCAGGTAAATGTAGGAACTGACTAACACGTAGTACTGTTTGGGTAGCCAAACTATAGACCACAAATCTTTACGACGCAAAATGAATGCCGACAATTTGCAATATTAATTAAGGGCGAAATAGTATTAAATCATCAATTTGATAGCATCGTTGAAAGCACCTTTAGATGCTGTAATGACTAGTGGGCTTTAAAATTTCAATTCGTAAATATGATACAAAATTAACGATATTACTCGTAGCACTAGCAGTCATGACGTTGGTCAATGGCCGATGTTAAATAGTTATAAATGGATCGCTTTTATTTATATCCTCTGCAATGCAGACCCCAAAATAGCTTAAGAAATTATAGGAAATCACTAAGTGATATGTAGAAAGTGTAGGTTGATGCTGTATGTGCGAGATTGTAGATTAACTGGAGCCTTAAAATGGTGTTGAGCGAGTGTAAGTGCTAAATACTGTGGCTACAGTAAATGTAGTAGCTTTGATTAGGAAAGTCCTTATGATGGTGGTTGGATACTAGAGATGATACGAATTATTGGATGGTAGACTAGTGTACCCATGTGTAGTGATTTCAGCTAATTACAGTAGTTTTGTGTAGAGCTAACAACCCGTACACTAGACCATGGTCATTGCCTAATTAGATTATTAGCAAGCGTTAAGATACTGTAGCAATATGGCAAGTATACCCTTAGCAATTTGAATTCATTCCTTCACCTAAAATATCTCCGTCTTATGGCAGATGATTTCAGCTGCAGTTATATTAGCTTAACTTAATGTTGCTGCTAGGCGATCTACAGTAATCGCTACAGAAATGATTTCGCAAGTTTAGTGCGTAAGGATTTGTTCTTAATAAAAAATACCACTACATAAAAATATTCCATTTAACTGTAATGGTATCATTTAATTATAGCATGGCATAATAAATCCTACCTAGCAGGAATACTAATTAATGGTCATAGCCGAAATCTTAGTATTAAAGTGAATTTTAAAACAATCGCATGATACATGAACTTCCCAAAGGGGAATAGAAAAATGATCTATAATTATGGAGTGGGAGGTGGGGATATACAGAAATGATGAAAATTGAATAATGGCTGTCATTACTTGTTTGACCTTCTGCATTAGTTGTTAGTATATTATTAACTACGTTGCACGAGACCTATGGCATCATATCAAAATATCGCACAATAAGCAATTAATCAAAAAAACATCATCAATCCAGTAAATAAAATACAGAATACGAAATCGATTGGGTAAAAACGCTATGGTACCATTCTTGATCAACAAAGATGATATTGACTGTTAAATTGAATTAAAAAAAAATAACTATAAATTATAAATGAAGTCTAAATCATTAAAATTAGATACCATATTTGGTTGTGGGTAAATCATATGTAAAAATGTAAACTACAACTTGAAATTGTGTCATTGAGATCAAAGCAAATTATAATCCAGTAGTGAGTATTTATCCGATTTGCTGAGACCCGCTTTTAACAATATGGGTTAAAGGTAATTTTCATAAGTCATAATATAACAATAGGAGTAAAGTATCTTGAATGCCTATGTTACGGCTTCTTCTACTACTTTATTTTAAAAGGCTTCCTTCAAATTTTGAGCACCTCATATATAATGAATGGGCTTCATTGCTATCCAATGACACTCTGATCTTTGACTCGTGACCTCAAGTTGATTTTAATACTCTTTCCGCTTTGTATATTCTGTTTTTATTTATTGGAATCCTCAAAAAACAGCCACAGTGTTAAAAGCTAATAGGAAATAGGTAGTCTAAAAGCCATGTCATACAGGGAAAATAAACCTCTTGTACAATGTACATATCCTAGTAGCTAATCACGTGTAAAATTTTAATTTACTCTATATTGTTATGTATATTAAAATGGAAGGTAGCTAATCCAAAATCCCCTAATGTTATAGTATATAAACAATTTTGTCTACGTACTTTAATAGCTTCTTCTACTCCGTAAAGCTATATCTATCTTTAAAATTGGCAATTTTTCTTTTGCTACTAACGATATTCATCTATATAAGCGGAAGGTGAACTCGTCAAGAATCAAATATTAAACTTTCAGTTTTATCGTTACTAGTTGTAAGATATTTTTAGCTACTATCATGCCATACAGTATATATGCTTAGCACATAACAGACCAACGAAAACTGTTGACTTAACAGCTAATAAAAATAATTCCCAGAAATGCGGTAGTTATGATTAATTTAAAAAGCAGTAGAAATATACCGAACTCTTGGCTATTTTACGTATACTGTATACAAATGTATGGTAGTAAGAGTATAGAGAATATTGGGAATGAATATTCTATCAATTAAGGAAGAAATAAAAACTTGTACAAGAATTGCTTCAAGTCCTAAGTTCATTTATTATTTCAGCTCAATTTCATTCAATTAAAGTATATGCCAGTAAACACTGGTGGTTAAGATTTACTTTTCCGCGAAATATTACTGTTTCTATTAGCGGATTTTAAGTTGTAAAATACTTGTTCTCTTGCTTTTAAATTTATTTACAAATACTCGAAAACTTTCCGAATTGTATATTGCTATTCGTTGTTATAATTTTAGATGAACTAGGATAATTTCCAAAAATACCTATCAGTAAGGATCTCCCTGATTTTGTTATCTGAAACAAGAGAAGATTTCGTCATTAGACCGTCACACTAATTTTTTTCTTATTAGCGCATACGGAATATTGGCGAATTATTTACACGATTAAGACACTCGCTTTAGTTAAATTTTTACTTAACTGAAACTGCTTATTTCGATATGGTATGAAAACCTAAAATTAGGTCGTTTCATTTCCAGTGTTGAAATAGCGGTGCTATTCGCTTATTTGCGCGTCAATAATTCAATCTTAAAGCACCGTAAAGGAAATCTACGGCTATCAATAATAGTATACCATATTTATCGTCTTTCGCCTATGTTAACATCATTCAACTATAATTTTACCTATTTACTACCGAAATTTCAATATTCCAATGATATTAGAGAATATCGACTGGAATACTTTTTAAATGCATTTAAAACAATAAGCCATACTAGAACAATCTATTTTCTTGCTTACTGCTAAATTAATATCATAATTACAATATTAAAATTATATATCTATGCCTAATAAATCCAATTATAGGAGTATTTAATACACGATCATAAGGTCATACATTAATTCTTTATCATCAAACCCTCTTATGAATTTGTAATTAGAATACTGTGAACTTCCTGCACGTATCCATCCCTACATAAACACAGTTACTGAGATAATTTGTAAAATTATCAAATACGGTAAATATGTAGTTGTAATCTGCGTTGTTTATTACCGTATTTTTTCAAAGTTTGACAGTTTCTATTCACTGTAAATCAATAAATATACCTGAATTGATTGTTTTCTCTTTCATCTTATTCCTAAACTACATCGGCATTACAGTGGCTTGATTAAAAAACGGTAGACCATTGGATTAAATGCTTCGCTTTTAGTCATTTATCCCCAACAATGTATGAATAATATTTTAAGGACGCCGAGGTGAATTGTACTGAAATAGCTGAGAATGTAATAAATTGTAAACTTACTCGATACCACACATCAAAGAATAATTAAACACAACTTCTGGAACAGTCCAATTTTCAAAGTAGAATTAAGTAAAATGAAGTCGATAAATAAATAAGTAAAACGTAAATAACAACTAGTATACCCAATTGGATAGGATATAGGAAAAATGTGAATTATTAGTTAAAAATTCGCCAAAATATTTAATTTATCCATCTACTTCAAACCTATCAATTTTACTTTCAACAACTTTATTTAATTAATAGGACATAGATGTGCAATGCAATGAGCGAACAAAACCACCACTTATACTCAACTAATGATCCGAATCGAAGCTATACATAATTTATGTCTAACCGGATGTAATATCTTAAATTTTTTTAAAGTCTAACGTAAGTGACTACATAATTATTGAAGATAATATCATACAGCATCTATGGTGCCAATAGTATAGAAGATACAATAAAGATATCAAAGTATATAATAAGCTTAAAGCTAGAATGAAGTAAAATAAATCGACCTGGTTAATATTAAATATTAAATTCAAGTACTGGGAGTTAAGATATCGAATACCAGGGGTGCTAAAAGTATCCTTTAACCTTTAAAACTTTGTACCCTAATCAAATTAGGCAACTAATTTCTATTTGATCTGAAACAATTCTAATAATTCTTCTTCGAAATTAACCTTATGGAATTAAACCTATTTGTTGATGATCCTGCTTTCAGTCGAAACAAGAAATATACTAAAACTTTATTGAACACTAAATGAGACCGAGCTAGATTTTGCTTTATCAGCATTTATTAAAAATCATTGAGTTTCAAATTCAACTACCAATGGAACTATAAACGCCATTGGTACTGTATGTTAATAGGATAGTATGAGCGCTATTTTTGCCTATAATGGAGTTTCTAATACTAAGTATTTGGAACTAAGTGACTATAGATCGATATCAGATAGGAAGTTGGTCAAGGCTTAATTAC